GTGAGAAATAATTCAGACAGGAAAACGGCCATTCTTAGTGTGCCTCCAGCTTGGAGGCTATAAGAGGACATAAAAGTCAGTGTCCACAATTACAGGAAATTCGCCGTCTGCTACTTCAGCAGCCACAAGCAGTCCGTCTCAGTCTTCGTTGGCTGCTGGCACACGTTGGGATCCAAGGCAATCATGAAGCAGACAGGGCAGTGAAGTTGGAAGCAAATGATGTGGCTCTGCTTGAACATCCAGTGAAATTTTCAATCTTCCAACTTAAAAAGAGTCACACACCAACAGGTCATTGCACAGTGGCAGCAGATGTGGGAACAGCAATAATGGGCAGGCGAACATATGAATTTTTTCCAAAAGTGGGGGAAGCACTCTAAGTCAATACTGTGAATTAACTCACTTCTTCACAGGCCATGGCCCTTTTGAATCTTGTCTACATCACTTCCACCTAAGTGAAACAGATATCTGTGGCTGTGGAGAAGTGGGCGACCCGGATCACCATCTCTTCCCTTGTCCCAACACTGCTCATTTTCATCAAAAGAAACCAAGTGAACGATTTTGGTTCCAATAGGCAGAAAATTTAATTAAGAACAACACAGCCAGAGTAAAGCTGAGAAAACTTATTATGTATTGCGCAACAAAAACTCAGCTGTAAGTGGGCACAACAGGGCAACCTAGCACTTGGCATCTTGCTCTATCAGACATTAACCAAGTAGCTAGGCACACTGTTTTTCACAGAACATCATAAGTCTCTATGATTTGTAAGACTGTGTAAAGACATTCTGCAAAGCAGAAGCACAACAATGAGCCTCATTACACAAAGTATTATTAGTAGTTTAACAATCTCCTCCAGCAGCACCTGCAATACATGTTGTTTCTTTTTTTATGTGTGTGTGTGTTCAATTGTAATTGCACTTATATACACCCTGCTTCTATGTAATAACCCTCGTTTCATTTTGCTGCTCATTGTTACAATGGAATTCAGTTTACATTTCAACTGTATTATAATTACTACCTTGTTCAATTCTATTACCATAATTCCTTCATTCAATAGAGTAAGTAATATTAATAGCACCTTCAATGCATTGTTCAATAGTGTTTTGTGAAGTTAGCCTGAAATTGGTATATTATATGATAAGTATTCTAAATGTTAAGTTATATATCTATAATGCAATCTCATGTATCTTAGATTGTAAAGTGTTAGAAATGCAGGTTAGAAACTGGTTTGAAAAAAATCATTTACAACAGTCACAGCAATAATGGATCACAGCTGCATTCACATTTGTTGCCACACGTACCATTGGTGGGTCACCTTGTAAGGCTATTATTTGAAACTAACCAGATATTTATAATTTCAGCCTTCACTTTAAAGTCTCCTTTCTGTTTCTTCACCAGAATGCAAATCAGTTAGATAGTATTTAAGATGAAATTTTTAGATTGTAAGTCATCATTGACGTCATTTGAATTTGTAATGACAATTAGTTTTGAGCCAGGTTAGATTTAAATTCAATTCCGTAGACTTTGACTACTATTGTACATTTTAAATTAGAATCTGACTGCTACTTAAGTTGCATCACCACAAGCTGCGGCTGGCTTTAAGAGAAAGAAAGTGCATTTATGATCAAGTTCATGTTTAAATAAAAAGGTTTATTTTAAACCTTTGCTAGACTCTGTAGTTACTTTAGGTCATAAGGATAATTTGCTTTACGTTAGTTAGGGATTTGGAGTACTTAACTTTTACTAGATCAAGTAAACCCTATAAGTGATGCCCAAACAAATTATGAATCATGTCACAAGACAAAGGCAGTATTTAGTCTGCACCTACTTCCAAAGATCGCAGGCTCCACCGCCACCGAAAGAAGACTCTGGAAAGAATGATGCATAGATGTTCCGGAAAGAACGATGCATCATTTCTTGTCATAGAAATGATGCAAGCCTCAATGAAACCCACAGCTATTTTTGATGGCAGAAGTTCATTATGATTTTTCTTAAACAACTGGATTCTCACTTTTTGCTTTAATATGGTTGCAGAAATAGAGAAGGTCACCACAGTAAACACTGCATTGCGAAGACAGGCACTAAGCACATCTGAGCCCTGAACACCCGCAGTGCACATTTAAATTTTATATGGCAGTTTGAAGTTCTCAGCCAGCTGAGATTTATATTTAATTGTATAGTCTTTGACTACTATTCTATGTTTTAAATTGGAATTCGACTGTCACTTTAATTGCTTCACCATCAGTCGTGGCACCCGGTGACTATCACCTGTTCCTACATTTGAAGAAGGATCTGGACAGTCTTCAACACTCTGACAATGAGGGCAAAACAACCATGTTGCAGCGAGTCTCAAATGAAGCCTTCTAAGAAAAGGGGATTCAAAAACTGGTTGTACAATATGATGAGTGCCTTAACATTGGTGGAAATTATGTAGAGAAATAAACTGGGGTATAAGCTTTCATATAAAACTAAAATTTTATGAAAATTCTTGTTTCTTTTCCATTTCCAAATAGTGCTTACTTTAAAAACATGCCTCATATATGAATATGTGTAGCAATGTTCTGGAAAGCACAAAGTATTGTTCAAAAGTATATAAAATTGATGTAGACAATAACCTAGACATAATAACCTGCAATTATATTTTTTCAAACTTCAATTATAAATTAAAAATATAGTTAATTTTGAGATTTGTAATGATCTAATACAAATGTTATATATACATATACTTCAAGAGAAATATGACTAAGTGCACTGATCAGAACCCAAAATTTACATGAAGATGATGCATATAAAGGAATTTCTAACATATGCACATACATTAGCATATACATGAACAATTATATTTAATAATAATGTGGCCCGCTTATGGAATTTACCCTTATGTGTGTCAGTAGTCAGCATGTTAAACACAACTACTGACTGCTGTAATTACTTCTGAGAAGTGTGCATATCTTTTATAGAAAGAGAAAAATAACACACACACACACCCCACCAAAAAAAATAGGCAGCATTAGATGCTTTGTTGCTGCATTAGATGCAGCATTAGACAGAAGGATATATAAATAAATATTTCTCACCAGAATCATTAATAAGATCATAATTCAGTGGGGATGTAGTAAACAGAAAGTACTACTTTTCTGCTAAATACTACACACAAATATATAATTTCAAAATTTTATATTTCAATTTATTAATGAAAATATTTCATTAAGTAAAATTTTATATTGGAACATTCTATAAAGAAAATATCTTATCCATTTAGAATTTAACTTGGCTTAGTTTGAATTTTAAAATAAATTCTGCAAGATATGTCTGCTCATAAATTTCAGTTTCAGTTATAGTGTACTAGTCTAAACTGGCAGGAAAAAAAAAATCCATAACTTCATATTCATATGATAAGATGAACAGTTTCCTAACTGAAAAATGAACAATTTTAGCAATAATAATTTCTTGTTTATAGTATTTGCCCCATATGCTTTTCAGCAGCAAAAATTTAAAGCAAAATTAAAATTACCTACAGTACCTTAAGGAAACTGCATTATCTATATAACTTATGATCATCATCTGTAAAACACGAAGTATCTAAAACATGATCATCACTTTGCAAGCTCTGAGAGTTTTTCAAAAAAAGACTAAAACACGAAGTATCTAAAACATGATCATCACTTTGCAAGCTCTGAGAGTTTTTCAAAAAAAGACCAGATATAGGAATTCACTTCATATCTCAACTTTGTCTTTGTGTCACTTCATATGTCAACTTTGTCAACTTTGTCAATGTGCAACAGAAATTTGAATTACTAATGCATTTCTGCATTGATGTGGATCATGCAGTACTTCCCTTACAGTTTCAAATCTAGATCTGGTGTAATTTGAAATTTTAACAGGACAATAGAACTGGTTATTATTACATATAATGCTTTGTAATGGTTCTAGGCAGATAATGCACCAGTATTGATATAGCCCATGCAACGTGATAATGAAATCAAACAGCTACTTTTATATTCTCAGCAACCAGACTTTAATACAAATTAAGGTTAATAAATTTTAGCAGTTCTTGCAAGTCAGTTCAGAGTTAATAACCAACACTTTCATCACATGAAAATAAACCAAGATCTTAACAAGGAACAGAATAAAATACCCTACCTTTTAAACATAATATTGATTTTTCAAATCTATGTGAAATTATAGCTATTCTAAATGTTCATGAAAGGCACTTAAAACAGCTTTAATTAGTTTATTAGCCCTTATGAATTAAATTATTCCCATTTTGCAAATTTGCTAATATATAAAAATATCAAAATCCTTTCAAATACAGTATCATACTCAGATTCACCCTATCTCATCAACAAACTAATTTTAATCATGCAAATCTTTCTCACGATCTATGCCTTTTGATTTATAGCCCAATAAATTAAACTAAACATATGACACACAAATTAGAGTTTTGGCATGATATTTACTTTTGCAATGTTTTACTACATGATTCAATACTCATGGAATTCAATGCATCATCAATTTCTCAATTATTTTTCTATTAATATATACATAAATGGCTATGAAATACTATTAAAAACATATAATATGAATAATACAGATAATTTTTTTAAATATCAAGACTTGAGAAATGGGAATATATTTCGTTACTCTAAATTTGCATATTGCTAGGTACATAATACATCCAAACATAAAATTCATTAAAAAATTATTTATACCATAATGCAAGTCCAAAACATTTTAAAACTCATACATATGTAATAGCTCTTATATGAAAGTACAAATGACAGTTAAAAAGAATATTGCCTGTCTTTCAGGCACTTCAAATATATTGTGGCACACATATTTCAGTCCCCTCCCCGCTCCTTTTTTTGAGAAAGGTAAATCTTGGTAAATTATTGTGTAACATACAGTTTTAATAAATTTCTCATTAAAATAAATTTCAAAGTTATATAAATGTATAACATCATATTTACATAAATTTAACAATGACACAAAAATTATTGTACCTTAAGAGACTGTATATAAGATTTATGGCAGTCAATGTGTAAATAATGACCACATGATTGAACATGGACTCCACCTTCCCATCCAATATTTAATGCCAATGGCCAGTTTTGCTGCAATAAAAATAAATAAATAAAAGTCAATACAAGATAAAATGAGATTTAGAATTAGATAAAATGAGATTTAGAATACATGTTTTTTATTCATTAACACATTCATTATCAATATCAAAAAGGGCATAATCTCTCACAGACCAATAGGTATATTTTTGCAAAAAGTTTTCAAAGATACAAAACTTTTAATATTAAAAATTAGTTCCATAGGGGGGAATGCTTAAGGTTGCACATAAAAATGTCAAAACATATGATATAAATAAATAGATATTGAAAATTGATGATAAAATTTAAAATATACACAAATAATCTGTAATGAGAATTTTAAAAAAATAGAAAAAGCGATTTATTTGTAAATATTGCATATTATAATTTCAAAATATAAAGCTAAACATATCTTTAACTAAATTTATAATACATAACAAATAATTAATAATTTATCAATGATGTACTTTATTATGAATGTCGGTCAAGAAATATTAGTCTGTATTTAACTCAGTTATAAACAATCAACTGCTGGTAACTAAGCAGCTGAATTACTTCTCAATACTTTACTAAAACGTCCTTTTATTTATATTTCCAGAAAATGCTCTCATGCACAAATATGACTTAAAAAACTCCAAAGATTTGATTCAAATGTGAATTGAGGAAAACCACTGCTTCATTACAATTTTGTTCAATTAATGTAGTGTATGCCAACATCACCTTAAAACACTTCTATAAAACACAATAGACACCTCTTCAACTGACATAAACCAAACCATAATAAAAAAACAAAAAGACTTAAATTATTGTTTTGAGAAATAAAATAACTTATTAAGACTACCACAATGATACGTGAAACCATCTAAATTGGCCAAAATAAACTTAATTCATCCTATACTTCCTTTATTAAACAAACTTCAATTAAATAAGCTTGCAATTTTTCTATAGATGTTTTTGACTTTATATCCAAGACTATAAACTGGCTCACAACATAAAAATAAAAAACTAAATAGACAGCAGATTAACCCAATGAAGAAAAATCTGATGTGGACACCACACAATTTCCTTATACGGGCTATTAAATTATACACATTTTCGGCTGCACTTCAATTAAACTTATTTCCTCAAGTTATTCTAACTTAATTAACCGATACTTCGACATCAAAAACTGCCATTTTTGTCATATGGGAGTCAAACTTCTTGCATTTTTATTTTATTATAATAAGTATAAAATGTAGGAACTAGGAAACAGCATTAAAAGACAGATTTCATTACTTGTCCAAAATAAATTTTTTTTTTAAATTTGAAATTTCCAAAACATGAATAATTTTGTCATTTGAAACACTTCTATAATTGGATGCATATGCCTATGACCAATGATTGCAAAAACAAAGGCCAGGTAAGGAATTTTAAGCCAGTTAAAGAAGGTGAATATATATATATATATACTTTTGGTATTGCCAATTGCAATAAAAAAGGGAGGTGCACAGATAGATGTTACAGCAGGCCCATATAAAAAGTTTCAACATTCTATGGCTAATCATTTTTAAGTTATGCAAGATACATAATTACATACAGAAAAAAAAATCCATTTTGAATCCATTTTATAATCTGATTTGGAAAAAAGTTCTTTATTCTGTCCATATGCACAGACATCGATAAATACTTATGTATTCAGAAAATATTTATAGCCCTATAATTTTCTTCTTCAAACACATGGTAAAATCAAACTTTTTAGTCCTTATTATTAACTTATTTCAAGAAAAGGAATCAAAAACACATAATGTATTTTCTATTGTTTAAGTAACATGCATTAACATGCATTTATATTAATTTTGCAGCTATTCATAAACTTTTTTTTAGATAAAACATTTGGAAGAAAAGATACCCGGTAGCTTACATTATCAAAATGTCTTGCAAGCAGATCAATTTTGTTTTCAACTATTGCAGCCAGAGTTTTCCCCTTCTGAAGATCCAATCTTTCATCATCTCCACAGGGTAGCTTACGAACAGGGTTCTGGTGGTAATGTCCAATCACTATTTATCAAACCCAAAAACAAGGGGGGAAATTTTAACACATACATAAAAAAATAAAAATGACTTAAAAATTAATTTATTAAATATAATTAATTAGCATAAAGTATTTTCATCACATATAAATCACATATACTTCAACATAATATATTCAGCTTAAATAAATCACCAAAAATATTCATTTTATGATATAATAACAATGTTCTACAAATTTTTTAATTTTTTTCTATTACGAAGATGAAATAAACTTTTCTGTATTAAATTCCATATCCTAAATACAAATATGCACTTTATTTTCTAACAGGAGCTCTTGCTCAGAAGTTACAGGAAAATTCATGTCACATTTTAAAAACCATAAGCAATGCTTAGTTGATATTTTGAAAGGAAATACACTTTCTTTTACTAAATTTCATCTTCTGAACATGACCATGCAATTTATTTTCTAAAAATGGCTCTGTTTTAGAGCTGCAGCAAAATTCCTGTCATATTTTAAAACTAATAAAGAATGTTTTGCTTGTATCTTGAAGACTTGACATAACTGAAATAAGGAAATAAAATTAAGTTTTTCTTTCTAAATTTTATCTCCTGAACACAAATATGCAACTTATTTTTTGGCACTGCCCCCTTTTTTAGAAGTAACTATAAAATTAATGTCATATTTTAAATCCTTAAGGAATGTTTTGCTTGCATTTAGAGGATTCACATTAACTTCTTTCATACCATGAAAACTGGAATTTTCAGCTACACTGTTAAAACTGCATTACCTATAATACTATAAAACTGTATACATATAACACTATTAAAATCAGTAACATAACTAGACTGCAGTGTCCATGCCTTTATTTCCATGCTTCACTTTAGATACGTAATGCTACAATGTAAGATGTTCAACAGTACTCCCTTACATAATCAGATTGTGATAACACAAACCTTCTCTTCTGACAGACTGAAATGAGAGCCATTTGAAAATGCCATTGTTATGACCATCATATCCAAATTAGCAAAGACATTTATATAACAAAATACAAGGTAACCAATAAAAATTCTTGCTATTTTTGACATTCAATTCGCTGAAGAGTAAAGAAATTACTTGTGAACCAGGGGAAAAAAAAGAGAGAGAGAGAGAGTTAATTTAACCACATTTGCACTAATACAAGCATGTTATGCACATACAGTATTCAGAGCTCATCCACTATCAAAGAGAAACTGAAGTATTAAGGCAACTTGTTTGTGGTTGTTTGTTTCAGGTGCCCTGTCTGCAGCCACATCAAATCATTGAACATGTCAAGCATTTGGAGAGAATACCATGAAGAAATACACCACCAGACACCAATTTGAGAGGTTCAAGTCAAGTCTTTATGATGAACCTTGTAATGAATGATATCCACAGCAGCTACAGAGGAGGACACAAGGGAAATGTGTGGTGAACTTGCCTAAAGCTTCCAAGTTTCCAAAAAATAATCAGACTTCACTTGTATCCCATAAGAGAAGTGCACAAATTGAGCAAGTATGTATCCCATACACTGTCAGCAGCTAAGAAGGAATTATTAGTGACAGCCTATTTGTCTTTGCCATCACAGCCCCACAACACACACATATTCGGTTATGTGCTCACGCAGAATAAAAAGGGGGCTCCAGTATTATCCTCCCAAACGTACCAGAAATTGCTTGAGATTTGACAGGATCACAACAAAACACCATGTGACCTTGTGCCTTACACCTCCAGACTATCTCTGCATCCATGCAAGATCATACTCTGTGTCTAGTGGATTAAATGCTAAGTAGTGCATTATATGCTACTACCACCTGGCCATACCGTCACTGAAGACCTGTACTTGCAGCAGTGACAATAGGTGCAACATGCACTGCAACAGAAGGAACCAGTCTGGTTTATTGCAAAGGTGTGCTGTCCATAACAATATGGCATAACACATGGCAAAGATGACCAGAGATTCTAACCAGCAGTTTGATTGGGAGATGCTGTGCTTTCTTAACCGAGTGCCCACAAATTATCACTGGACAACCTCCTTCATGTGAAATACATTAAAAAATGAGGCAGACGTGTTACACATAATCACTAACTTCTTTGCAGCCAAAATGCCCAAGTTTTATTGCAGAGCATTACACAGCTGCAGGAATGTTGGCAAATGTAAGATATGCTGATGACAATTACTTTGAATACCACTATGTGCTTTATGTCTGCCTGTTTTTGATGATACTGAACAGCAAGAAATTTTTTGTTTCCCTTGTATGTACAAAAACAGTGTAATTTAAAGAGTTGAATAATCCTACACTATATTAAATCATTTTTATGAACCTACATAAATTTATCATAAAAATTTTATAATTTTCAAGACAAAGATGCTAAATTACATCTTGAGGAAGGAAGGTGCCAATTTAATATATTAATGAGTTAAATTCTACACATCAGGATAACTACATGTAAGATTAAGATAAATCAGACTAAACACCTGCAAATTATTACATATATAAGTAGATATTTGAGAAAGATTATACAATTATTAATTGTATATAACTTAAATACCTTTTTAAATTATTTTCGATAGGTAAAATTATTTAAATATGACAAAGCCATGCAGACTATCTGCCTAATAGGAAGGATGATACCATGGAGGACTCTGGCTCATATTCACATTACGCATGGGGAAAACAACAAAAACCAACCATGCAGCCAGCCTATTCACCTAGAACTGAATGCATTTCAAACTGAACTACTAGTATTCAGCAGTATTTGCGGAGCTTTAACTCATTTAGTAAGTATTTAATTATACACATAAGACAACATAAATACAACTTAGAAACATATGAAAAATGCTATATACTTGCTACTTATGGAACAGATACAAATTTTATGAGTTTAACATACATAATCATAAATATGTTTACTGTACACATTAAAAGTTTAACTGGCTTCAAGTGCTATGCTGATTTTTCCTAAACGATAACAATAAAGAAAAATAGCTTTCTGCATTAAAGAAAGAGGCTGAAAATGGCACATAAAAAGAACTAACCACTTGTAGCTTGCAACAAAACAACCATTCCAACAGGCCTTTCTTCTTCTGATGCTGTCATCTGCCCACAGATAACACACTCATATTCCTTATCTTCATTAATTAAACTATCTTCAAATAAGGATTCTTTAGAATCTAAATGTGGAGGAGAAATTAAAAAATCTGAGAAATTTATAATCGAGTTAATTTTACAAGAGAAAAGAAATTAACCCAGAGAATACTACCACAAACATGTAATGAACAACTTACATAGCGAGATTACACATATATATATGTAATAAAATTAAAATTTTTAATTTTTAAAGCCTCACAAATTTTCATTGAATTAGGCATTTTTTTTTTTTTTTTTTTAAATTTGCTATACCCAAAAACAATGCATGCTTACTCTTTAAATTGTTTATAGTAATACACACTTTCATAAGAGGAGAAACATAACTTTGTGGGGAAAAAACATTTTTAAATGAAATTTATTAGAAGGCCAATCAGACATGGATCGTTTTTCTTCACTAACTTCTTTGTTAAGTATGCTAAAAAGTATATTTTGGGGTCAGTGCCTGATTTTCTTCAAAATCTCTTTCTGTTCAATACTTTTATTCAAAATCCATACCAAACTTAAACTTTTCTTTTTCTTTCTTTTTTTTTTTTTTTTTTTTTTTTTTGGTCCAACTTTAAATTTTACACTGTTTCTCTTCCAGTCTGAGGTTTATATGAGTGTTTCAAATCATATGGAACATGGAACATACACCAATACTAATTCCACACCTTTCTCTACACTCTGTAAAACAATTTATTAATTAATTTATTTATTCATAATAATAAATAGGTAACATATTCATAATAATGAATAAAATCTAATGAAAAGTATAAAATGGGCATTTTGTGGCATATGTTGCATTGCTTCAACAATAGCAATAATACACAGAGACAGGCAAAGAGAAACAGAGGAAAACACATCCAAAATGTTTCTAAGAAAAACAGACACTGTATACAATATATATACTGTATACAGTATATATATATACACAACAATCATTAACATCCTTCAAAGTAAAGCAAAGAAAAACATATTCTCAATTCAATTAAAATGAAGCAAATTACTGAATAAATAAAAAAATTAAATTTAAAAAAAAATCCAAGATTTTACAGAAAACCTATAAGTGATAAGGAAGGTAAAATAATGAAATGTTAACTTTTTAAAAATAAGTTTACTAGTCTTTTTTTTTTTTATCAAAGTAGTCAAGAAAAAGAGCAATGGATAAAATACATCACAGTACACTTATGATTATTAAATAATGGCTGTGCGTCTTATGGCAGTTTCATCATCGACATATGTATATCAATAATGCTCGGCCAAAAATACAAAACTGTCTGCATGAACTGGATTTGGCTGCCATACATATCTGTGTGTACCAGTGGTAACTTATTTTGCTTTAAGCATGCCTTTGCTAGATGTTCCCCCTTCCCCAATTTTCCGAAACTTGAAAAATTTATATACATTTATTTAAATCATCCTTTAATGAGGTTTATAAATCAAACGAGAAAAGTATAGAAAATGTTGATAAATACCAACACTTGAATAAAAGTAGTTTTTTTTAATATTCATACACTAAAACTAAATACTTAACACAAATAACACGGTGACTGCATTTTCCCTGAAACTACGCACACGGGTAGATTGCAATCCCATTAAAAAAATCTGGGAAACTTCCATACAGTACAAATCTGACATAATTTTAAATTATTCAAATTATGAATGTGAAGTACACACATGAATATATACCCATTTTAAACAATTTCATGAGCGAAGCAAAAATTATACATATTTTTGAATTTATCAAAAATTCATTTATGTTTCACTAATCATTTCACATAGTTGCCTACAATTTTAATCTCAACATTTGTAATAATACCTGTTAAATTTAGCTTGCCTTTTTTTTTTTTTTTTTTTGGTTGGAGGGGGGAGGTTTAGAGCAGGGTTCTCAACCAGTGGTACGCAAGAGAAAAATAGGTGGCAAGCAAAGAAGCAAGATATTTTTATCTATTAAATTCAAAAATTAAAATCCCAACAACCTGGTTGACTTTTTTTTCTAACACTTGTAAATTTACACGATCTGAGCTTTGTTCAAGAGTGATGGTAGTAGTAGAACTTTGTAGAGGTGGTACTAAAGGTTTTCAATTTTTGTTTAGATGGTACGTGTTAGTCAAAAGGTTGAGAACCGCTGGTTTAGAGGTTTAGTTTATGGGATTTACTGTGTTTATACATACATACACATACACACATGTAATATATATATATAAACAGGGTGATTATAATTAAAGTTCCACTATCAAAAGACTAAAAAAGAACCTCTAGTAAGAATGACCTGAAATGTGATATGAATGTATAGGAAGCAATGGGATTTGTCATACAAAAGAAAAATATAGGTAAAACTTTTAACAAAAAAAATCAGTTTTTTTAATGTCTCTAAGCTAAAAATCGTATAAAAAGTAATTACACTGCGGTTGACTTGCTTAAAAAATGTTCAAGATGCTACCCCCCCCCCATTTGCCATGATCTGAAATCGCAAAATAGCATGTTCCACAACAGATCACAGTGTATGTATGCTGATGCTGTGCATGTGGTGCGTAATGCATGTCTTCAATTTAGCTGAGTTTGCAATCAAAAAAGATAAGGACAATCATAAATGCTACCATAAACCTGCACCATAAAATGATCTTTCCAAAGCAATTGGTGCAGTGGGAATGAACTGCCTATTGCCCACATTCTGCAATTCTTAGCATTTGATACACCCCTTGAAGACGGAAATGAGCTTCATCTGTCCACAAAATGCTCCATGGCTATGCATTGTCTTATTTCATTCAAGCAAGAGATCATAGGACAAAAGATTGCTGTATTGGCAGGTCAGCAAGGAATCAATGCCTGAATGTGGATAATACTGAAAGGATAGCACTCCAAGATACAGTACAAAGTCTTTAATTCGGACATCCATAATCCGGAATGATCTATAATCTGGACCTCAAAGCTACAAACTTTCTGCGCATGCATAATGTTTACGCATGTACATATGCGTTTAAGCATGCAAATAATATGTTTACACATGTGCCTTTAATGTATAATGGACGGTATAAGCTAGGCTAAAATTATCTAATTAGATCCGGCTTATTATATTTTGCAGACTGTTAGAGCAATTTTATAAAAAGTAAGCTTGAACTTTCGATTATGTCAAAAAGAGTTTCCGATTCTGGAGCTGCCACAGGATCTACAAAGCGAAAGCATGCTTTGATGTCCATCAAACAAAAACTGGAATTGTGGCAAAAAATGGATAAAGGCATGAAGAAAGTGACCGAGAGGTTAGTGAAAACGAAAAAATTTCGATTGACAAGTTAGTCATTATTCTTGGCACAGCAATTACAGGACTCGAAGAGCGGAACTTTGTAACTGAACAAGAAATTATGTCTGGTTATAGAATTAAAGAGAAAGTATTAGCACATAAAACAAAGCAACTTAAGCAACTTACACTGAAATTTTTTTTTTTTTTTTTTTTTTTTTTTTTTTTTTTAGTGTGTGTGTGTGTGAAAATTTTGATACCCTATAGATCATAATTGCTCTTTATTTCATAAATTACGGTTTCACATTTTTAATTTAATAATTTCTGCATGCCATCTTACTAGATTTAAACTGATGATCTATAATCCAGAAAAACCCTAATCCAGAATCTAAGTCCCGACGAGTCCAGATTAAAGACTTTGTACTGTATTTTGTAAAATTTTACAAGCCATTTGATAGGCATATCTAACAATCAGGCAATTCACCTTACAATGCACTTTCTCACACCACTTCTCATTTCTTTTTGCAATGCTATAACTACATTTTTCACTGACAATGAAGCACCACATTTTCCAATGATGCCAAAGCCATTACTTTCCTCCTCCTGCTAGATATTATATCAAATGAACTAGCCTCTTCAAATTTACAAATCATCTTCTGCAGACTGTTGACAGACACTACACAGAGTTTCAAATCTGACACACGTGTGAGTGAAACTGTCAATTTTTTCACTTGTACTGTAATATACTATTGCAGTTTTAGGTCATTGACTTTAATTTCTAATTTTAAGATGTACAATAATGTGAAAATTTTAAATAAGTAACAGACAAAACAACAGTGTCATGTGCAAAGCAAAAAAAATGAATGCATCCAAACGTTTTCTTTTTTTCTTTGTCTGTATTGTCTATCTTTATCTATTTCCAGATACATTGTGTAAAAATATATTTTAACAAAAGTTATAAATAAAATATATTTTATTAAAAGTTATATAAATGAAATATATTTTAATAAAAAATATCAAAACGCTAAAATTTTTGGTGACCCCCTGCTGCAGGTCCCACGACCCCCAACAATTTAAGAAACCCTGTCCTAGGAAATGTTTAAAATTTACATAGTAAATGTGTACTATTATGAGTATCAAAAACTGGAATTTGTAATTAATTAAATAGGAATTTGCAATTTATTAAATTCTAAATTAATAAAAAGTATACTTAAACAATCAAAATCGTTGATGCCACAGAAAAAAAAAAAAAAAAAAAAAAAAAAAAAAAAAAAAAAAACCACATTTAATAGGGAAACTGAAATCCCTCTGTACAATCACCAACAATTCATGAGAATTGTGTTTCATTTACTTCCCATTTCTGAACAAAATCCCTATTCCAACTGTAAATTTGCTAATCAATATTATAAAATAACTTAAAATCTTAAAATTATTCCAGGAATGGGCAAAAAATTCCCCGACTGTTTTCATCATCTAAATTTTTTACATTTCCTAGGAAACAATCTCAACTTTTATATTCTTTGTTAAAGTTAAATTTTTAATCTTTACAGTGATAGTGAAGGATTTTACTTTTTTAAGCCTTTTCAAATAAATTTTGAAATTCCTTAATTTTTATAAGGTTTTTTAACTTGTATTTCTTTACAAGTTATATAGAGAGAGACACCTACTTACATAAAGCAAATATTGTACTTTAAATAGATTTAGTAATCTACAAATTTCAATGAAATCCTTGTGGAGGTGAGATTCTTATTATTTCATTTAAATAAAATGGGAAAATGTTTAATGAAAGATTACCTGTTTCTAATGTTTTCTGCATAAAAGCTTTCTGCTTTGAAGCAAACTCAGCCATTAGCTTTTGCTGTCTTTCTTTAGCTCTCCTTCTCCTATAATAAATTTGAATTTAATTTTCCAATAAAACATAAAATGAGACTTTAAAAAAAAAAAAAAAAAAAAAAAAAAAAAAAACCTATTATAAGGGCAGTTAATTTAAAATTTTACACATCTAAGTATATTCATCAAATTAATATTAAAATGTGAATAAAATTTTAAAATTAATATTATCTGTGACTATAGCTTTTCTCAGACAGGAATTTTACTAGACTTGAAAGCAACATTGCTTTTGTTACTGGATTTCAATGGAAAAATTACAAATGTTTAACTGAAAAACGATAGCAGCATTTTTTTTTTAAAATCCTGAATTGATTAAATCAAATGTTAAAAAAGAGCAAATAAATTCTCATAAAGAGTAAATCAAGTAAATCAGATCATTCTTACAAAAATAAAGTCTTTGCATATGGTTCTTCACATTAGCAAGACATTAGCATACATAAAGCAAATATTGTACTTTAAATAGATTAGTAATCTACAAACATAAAGTACCAAACAAACGCTCGCCCCAAAAAGCTGTTAAACAGCCTAATTTTATTATTATTATTGACTAGAATTTTAGCTGCCAGTTTTCTAATTATATAAGAAAAATCTCAAAGCTGTACTTTCAGTCATATTTAAGAGGTTTAACATATTTAGAGGTTAAAATTTCATAAAACAGCAAACTTTGGCTACTGAAAAAGAGGGACCTGTATCTCATCACCCTTGAAATCAATACAATTTTATTTAAAATCTATTCCAAAACAAGACAACTGTTTTACCTAATTTTAATCATTATTATCATATCATAATTTCATCACATATATTTCATGATTTACAATAGTGTTTCTCTCCTCTTATTTAAATTCTAAAGTTATTAAAATTTTTAAGTTTGACGGCAGCCTGTGAAAAAAGATAAGTCTCTTTAAACATTGGTCTGTTAAAGCTATTAAGCCTTTTAAATGCCATTCGTTAGCACCACAGCCTAATAGAATATCATATTATTTTATTTGTTTCTGCTGAAAAAGGTGAGTGAAATGAAGTGATTATTGATGAGAAATAAAATACAGAAAGCAGAAATTTGCTGTTGTTAAACTGATTAATTTTACAATTTAAAAATATTTAACTCATCTTTTTTTCTATATTCTCTCTCTCCCACCCCTCCCCCTTCCCCCCCTTTTTTTTGTCGACACAGATGTTTTACAAATTCTGAAGCATTTTTTATAATTAACATACAGATTTCAAATTTGTGCATGTTAATTATTATATTTTTGATGAAACTAAGCAGGGAACTAACCGCATTTCCCGTGATTAAATATATATATATATTTCAACTCAGAACTACCTGGATTTTCTTGTTTTTAAACTAACAAACCGCTCCTCCCCCCCAAAAAAAAAGTTACATTTAATTACAGAAGCATACAAAACCCCATTCAGAGTTTTGTGTAACATATCTCAGAGAATACACATAAAGAATTTAGACAAAATAAATCTTAAAAAAAGCGCAGATTTTTAACTTTTTTTTTTTAAAAATTTTTATTCGAGCCATGAATGACTATTTCTTTGAACCAATTTTTTCAAAATAACTACAATCTTCACTATAAATTTGAAAACGTAAAAGCAAAAAAAATTTGTTCTTCTCAATTATGATATGAACAATTTGAAGTAATAATGCATTTAAAAATACAGTCAAAACTATTTATAATATTTGGAAAATTTAAAAATATATATATTAATAAAGGAATTGAAAAAATTCAAAGATTCATATTTTCAGTGAATAAAGTTATATATAGATATACACACATTATCTGCACATTATCTTTTATTACTTGTACTTTTCTTGTGAGTCTTTTATGTTCTTATTGTTATTTTCTTGTGAGTTTTTTGCCCAGTTTCCCTTTCTCATCATATTATACATTGCCAGCCATTAAAATTGCTACACCATGAAGGTGCAAGCAACAGACATCAAATTTGCATGAAAATCATTACATGCTGGTATATGCAAATGATTGGCATTCCAACACATGTACATAAAGCAGATATAAGTAATGAGATCTACATCTTACAGCATTTGCACAGCAAGTTGCACATTTGAAAATTCCATTTGACCTATATTGTGTAAAGGTCATGCTATGCAGCACGTCAAAAGGAGAAACTCCTATCAACAGGTGTCTAAATTCGAATGCAGCAGGAACATGGCCTATCGAGACTGCAGTTTATCGTTCTGTAACACTGCAGCTTGTGTTGGTCAGGTTCGCATTTGTTGTGTGAGAGCAAATAAGGAATCTATGGGTCCAAGACAGCCATACAAGATCTCAGCAGCCCTGAGCATTAATGCCTAAGAAATCAAACATGTTGTCCTCTTGGCCTTGTAGGATCATACAGCCATGTCGTGTCTCTGAGTAAGGAACTTGGCTTGGGCGCAAGACAACAAGTATCCACAGAGACAGTGTGACAACATTTGCCACACCACATACTGTCAACAGGACAACCATTTTTGTGGCTTCCCTTGACACTGCCGCAGAGACAGGCACACCTACCATGGTGCAATGAACATCAACACTGGATAAAAGAAAGGCAACTGTGTACAACATCTGCATACTGCTAGCTTGCATTTATCATCATCACACAGGCCCAACACCTAGCATGATAATATGAGGTGTCATTAAGTACAGAAACAGTCACCTCTTCTTTAAAAAGTTGGTAATTCAGACACCTGCAGTAGTATTTCTGACATGTTAAAGCCCTGTCTTCGAGCCTGCATGATGTCATCTTTCCACAAGATAATGCATGAGTGCATGTTATCTGTGCTGCCCTGAATTTCCATGACACAGTGGGTTTTTGAATGTTGCTCTAACCAACATGTTTTTCAGATCTCTTATCCATAGAGAACACTTGGTAATGGGTTACTGAGAGATTGGCATGCCAGCCTTCACTAGCCATTATGATTGATGAACTCTGGTTTAAGAACTGAAACCATGTGGAATGAAGTATTCATATCTGTCATCCAGTCTCAGTTTGACTTGATGCCTCACCACATTACAGCCATTGTTGCTACCAAAAGTGGCAGCCTTTTGTACAAAATTCTGCATGCTGTATACGCAAAATCACCTGAAAATGTAATCAAGCCTTCTCTAATTATACTACAGGAGTACAATAAATAATCTGTTACTTGTTTTTAATCTTTGTGTAACAATTTTATTGGCTAGCAGGGCATATATACTTTGTCTGCCTTTTCTACATGTGCTAGAATATCATTCCTATCCTAGGATATTTTGATTCAAATAGTGTATTCCAATATGTAAAATTTACAATATTTTACTTTATTTTTCTTCAAAGGGCATTTCAAATTTTCATTTTTTTTTTCATTAGGAATTTGAATTTCTTAAAATATAATAAATATATATTGTCTATATGCTTACTTCTCTATAAATTATTATTAGACTGAGATTTTTATCAGTTTTGCTGTGCTTTTATAATGGCTATAGGTAAAAATTTTTCAAGTTCAACTGCACCATAGTGCATTTTTACTAACAGCCTTTTGCTAAAATAAGTCTACTAATCTGAGGTACACCCACACCCTGGAAATGTAAACATCCCTTGAAATTAATAATATGTATGCTACATTTAAAGGAAGAATATGCAACCTAATTCAACACAACTGAAAATTACCATTTCAATAACATCCAAAATAATAATCTTGAACCATTTTTCATATATTGATTTTTATTTTGCAGTTCCTATATTTTATATGAAATGTTAACATTTGAAAAGGTATACCTTTCCTTCCCATTAACAAAGATGATAAAAATCAAACATTTCAATTTTTAGTACAATGTTTTAGATCTCCCAAAAGATGTAAAAAAAAAATAAACATATACTGTCACATTGTAACATACTGAAAGTTCAGTTCTTTGCTAACAGTCTTTTGCACTGTAGTAAAATGAGATATAAGATTTAACCTCCCAATGTGTATTTAAAGTTACATTTAAACTATAAACACTATTGTCTAATAAATAATATTTTTTCCCTTTCTTATCATTGGTTTGACAAAATGATTGGTATACCTCTTTTCTTCAATGGAGTTTTTTTCATGCTCACAATTCAGCTAAATGCTTGGAATGAGAAGCCTAACTTTTCAGCTATTACAATATTTCACATTCCATTTTCAAATTATTTCTAGCTTTCAATTTAAAATTAGAAATGTACAAGTAATTTCGCTTACATATTTAAAAAGATTTTTTTTTCAACTCTCTAAGTTTAATATAATAATAAGAAGTATAAAAAAATTATGAGAATTAAGTGTCTACATCTGTTAAATACATAAAAATTACAAACATACATTCCAATAAATAAATATCTCATTCAATTATCTCATATAATAATCCTTATTAAAATATCTCATTCAGCACTCAATTAAGATTTTATATAATCACTGAATATTTTTCGGCCCTGTATCTCTTTTTATTGGCTTAAAAAAAGTAGGAAAAAAATTTAAAAAGCTTGAAATGTTGTGAGAATTATCATAATGTATTATAGAGATTAAAAAGTAAAATTAATTGGATAAAGGGTCTTTTAAGAACTTGCTATATATAGCTGTATTGGATTGCTCAGCCACAAACCAATAATTTGTAAAAATGCAGTAAAATCAGATGTCCCAATTTTAAAACTACACCACAACTTCCACAGAAATTCAAAATTTTGGCTTTTCATAAATACAGAAAATGACAGAGGGAAAAGGTTAAATTTTTATTTATGAGATACTTACTTTACTTCTTTATCCAAATTTTCTGACATATATTCTGAAGATGGAGATGCAGAAGAATCAGTTTTTTTAGGCCACAGTCTCTGTTTAATGTTCTGAATTACAGAAACTTTATTTTCACCTGAAGCAGCAATGTGATCAATTAATCTTTCTATATATGTAACACCATCTCCAATTCTTAAATTGATGGATTCCTGCGACAATGATTCTCTTGGCTTAATCCTATATGAATCTGGTTTTTCTGACAGTTTTGAATGGAGTTGCAAAAGAAGTGAGAGTATGCTTTCATTGACAGCAATCATTCTTTTGTTACTGAATGGTAGATACCTATATGTAAGAAAACAGAAGCAAAAATTTTACATATTTACTGTTTTTATTGATAAAAAGGAAATACTAATATATACTAATATATATACTTATCCACATTGTCAGGAACAAAATGAAGATTAATTTACACATCATATCATTATAAGAAAAATAAGTATAAATTCATTATTCATTGTTAAATATTCACAATGTGACAAGTTTCAGCATTGTTAATAACAACATTAACTTACGCAAGTCAGTATTAAAAATATTTCATGAATTTATTACATTATCTTTTCCTAAAAAATACAATTAAATAATAATATCATAGCACCTAAAAAATGAATATCTGAGACAATAAATCAGAGGAACTACTTGCATCAGTGCTTAATTCTCATGTGATATTTGAGTGACATAACAGCGTTCTGGATATTATATGCAAGTAAAAACCTTTTTTAAATACTGATTTCTATTATGGATTGTTTAAATTCATGATTTTGTAAAAATACTTTTACAACATTACTCCAGCCATTTAAAAACATTTATCATAATACTATTGGCAATATGGATGCATGCAGACACTCAATGTACTATTACAATGTCACTAATATAAGCATATATACTAATTCTTCAAACTAAGTTACTTCAAAGTTTTTCAGTTTAGAACACAGAATAGATACTAAAATTTCATTACAGAATTTTCTTCTTTTTCAGCAAATATTACAAATAGAAAACATCAAAACAAGAACTCGAAATATTTATCAGAAAAATCATTCCCTTTCTGATTGTCATTGGTACTAAAAGTCACTGCTACCAAACATACCCTAAGTGGACTAAAATACATAGGCATCCTTCTATGGCTGTAAAATGATAAAAATTTTCAATGCAGAAAGGATAACAAACATTCATGACAGAATGATGAAAATATATGGGAATGAATGCCTACCCAAACATGCATAATGGAATGGCATGTATAATTCAATGAATACTATGACATGACTCATGATAAATATCAATCTGGTTAGCCATCCACATCTATTATGCCTAATCTGTTCCCAATGCTGAAACAACAAAAAAAAAAAAAAAAAAAATGTTTCATATAATTTCCTACGAAATTTTGTAGTTCAAAGTACAAAACTAGAATGACTAATTCAAGGGCAAAGTCTGTAACCACCTTTCATAAATACCACTTTCATTAATTTAAGGTAGAACCTTGATTTATCATTTCCAAATGAAGTTTTATACAATAAGTGTTATTTATTCCCACATTCATCATTCCTCAAGCTACTCTTTAACCACATTAATTGTTTGCAAATCATGTTTTCAGCCTAGATCATTTGTATTTCATGCCAGATGATTTGGGAAAAAATTTAAAACAAAGAACATGGTTAAAATTTCCTTCTCTAAAAGCCTGCCATTTTAAATTGCAAAATAACAGCATTTAGTTTTCATTTGTTTTATTTGTTTATTTATATTAAGTTAATTTCCAATGTTGTTTATTTATTCTTATATTTTCATGGTTTTCAGCATAATTTTCAGTTTGAATCTGCACATCATATGGAACATGAAAGAAGGAAAAATGAATAACAAATTGAGCTCAGATTTCCCTGATTTGCAAAACTTCGTGAAAAATTAAAGTATGTTTTTCGATGCAAAGTGGAAGCAATGTGGATCACGAGCATTTTAAATCTTGAAAAGTCACATTTTTCAGTTGAGAGTAAATTCAGCAAGAAGCAAATGACAAATGTATGATCTTTTCTGCTAAAAAGCAATTTTTTCTTTAAGTTTTTTAAACTGTTAAGTGTTTATGTTCAATGTAATATATATTTTGGTATGTAGTAATCACTTATTTATTTACAATATATTACTTATTTGTAATAAGTAATAATTGCACAGTTTATTCAGTCCCTCACATCACTTGTTTTTTTCTCTCACTCCACCCCAGTGAAAAATGACGGATCAAGATTCCATTGTACTTATACAAGTAAGATCAATTTTTAAGTTTAATTTGCTATAGTCTTTCTAAGTCTCTGAGGTCTCATTTTTAATCTGGTTATTTTAAATCTCATCCCAAAACTAGCAATATGCTTAAGTGGTTTAAATAAATCTGAAGCATCTTATTTTAACATTAATCTCTGTCACCTGATTTTCATTTAATATCAATAAATACCAACAAAAGGGAAACTAACATCATTTGCACAAAAGTAATCATAAATTTGCAAACAAAAACTCTTTACTAACCAATAAAGGTAAAGTAGAATCATTTTTTTATTATTTTTAATATAGCATCAATATCATAATATTCTCATTCTTGAATCTACCTCTGTCCTGCTAATATGCAGCCTGTAACCTTTCTTTCTTAATCTAATTATACTGTTACAAATATGTGAAAAACATGTATGTATTTTGGCTGCACATCTTGCACCAAAGGCTGTACATCTTCCACCAATTTAGTTATGATGTTTATTTGAAGAATGTTATTGCAAAAATAAAGAACAGCATTGATCTGTTACATCTTTATGCATCAGCTGCATCATCATGTTCTACTTCACCACACAAAATTTTCACTGCGTGTAAATGTATATATGTGTGTGTGTATATATATAATTTGATAATCTACAATCAATTCTAACAATCCGTCAGATAAACTGATGTATGCACTCTATCATTTAATTTCTATTAAAAGACAAATCAGAAGAGAACTGATTACATTATATAAATTCTAAGAGAAATTATAGTCATGTACATACTAAAAACTGGGTGAATTCAGTTTGTGAATACACACTGGAATTCAACACTTCAGTATTCATTATAAATTTTAAAAATTGTATAACGAAATACTGCTTAATTCATTGTTTAATTGCCAATATTAAATAGTTCCATAATGCAATGATCAAAAAGAGCCTTTTATGAGCATGAAATAAATTATATTAAAACTGTTTTGAAAAAATTATGCACAATGGGGTAAGAAATTTTTTTCGGCTGCGAATTGCAGAACATAAAACTGAGAACATATAGTTCAGCATGCACACAAATTAAAAAAATTATGCTCTATAAATACAAATAAACTAAAATTTTAAATCACACTAAAATAAAGGTTTACATTCTTTAAAAAAATGAAGGTAATGTAGATTAAATATAAATAATGAATAGATTAAATATAAATAGTTCAGCTAACAGAACACATTACAGCAATAAAAATAATTTTAACAAACAAATTAGCATAATAGTTACCTGGATTCTCCAGAACTTCCACATTTACAGCCCACAGGCATGGGTAAGCCATTGTCAGAGACTAGTGGAAGTCCTTTATCTAAAAGCAACATCCTATGTCGTCCTGGTACTTGCTTTAACCTTAGGCATTTAGGTCTTACAGTAGCCAAACCTTCAGAAGTAGGAATCAAAGCCATATTGAAAGAATTGCTGCCAGATGCAACAGCTGGTTGTTGAGATGAAGTAGGAAAGAAGTCTTGAGATGTAGAGGAACTTGATGTGGAAGACGATGTAGAAGAGCTAGATGTAGAAGGAACTACTGCTAATTCTCCACTGCCTTTAAATACAGAAAAAAAAATATTTTCCCCTCAAGTATAATAATTTTAGGATTACAATTACAATCATAAAGTATGACATATTTTATCAAATCCAATTTGAAAAATTCTACTTTTTCATTAAAGCATTTGTAGAGAAATTGGGTATTTTTTGAAAGCAGGAGATATGAAAAACGAGGAATGCCCTCGCCGGGACTCCGAGTGTGCTCACCACTACACTACGAAGGCATGCTAAGAAGATGGGAGAAATAACTTATATATTAACATAAATACACAAGAAAAAACATCTAATATATTTTTAATTAAATGACACTTTTGGTCTACATTTTTCATAAAACCAAAAGGCAAGCCTATTTGTTATCATACTTGCCAAAATATGACACTCAAAAATCAGGAGATTTTTTTAAGAAATCAGGAGATGTTAAAAAGACTTTTTTAAATGATAAAAATATAGTTTTTAATAATGAATTAACTTTAAATAGTAACTAATTCTTAAATGCAAGCAACAAAAAAATACACTAAAAACAACATAAAACATTTTTACTTGCAATCGTTTAAGAAAAAAAAAAAAAAAAAAAAAAAAAAAAAAAAAAAAAAAACACTTTAAAGTTTTTCATACAAACGTTATAAACAGTGGCAGATTTTGCTTTCTTTAAGAAAGAAACTTCATATTTTTGTTCACAGCAATTGCCACGTAGGCCTGCTTTCGCTAATAAAAGTTTTTCGAATGTGTTATCACTAATATTAAATCTAAATTTAGTCCTCGTTTTCACAACAACACTGAGAATCCTCTCACACTCTGCATTACTATGGGAACTGTTAAGGCCATACACAATTCTAGACAGTTCACTATATTTTAAAATTCCATCAGCACCTTTCAGTTTTCCAATTAAACTCCATTGGTTGTCAAAACTAGCTGATTTTATAACTTCATCCAAGTTTTTCTAATTGTAAACTGCGTCGCAGCTGTTGGAACTGTTTCAATTTTTCCTTCCTTTAGAACTCCTTTCAAGATAAAAAAATATCAACAAACGTGTTCATCCACATTATTGGTAAAAATGCCCCTTTTTCAGCTGCTAAATTGAAGAGGTGACAGGTGCACCTCATAATCTGCAAATCTGATTTTTCCTTTTTTAAGATGCCTGCAACATCAGTCTTCCAAGCCTACCAATACTGGTGCATTATCGGCCCAAGTGCCAAGCAATTATCCAGATGGCCTGCATTTTCTTTAAAAAGTTTTAAATTACTGTGGCTATATTAAAGCCTGTCAAATCCTTCCTTCTAAAGTGGGAACAAAAAGTAAACTGCACTCAATTTCTGGAAGACTCTGGATTAAAAAAAAGAAACACAAATGGATACAGTTTTGATCGGTATTATTGCTTCCATCCGTACAGAGGCAGAACAGAGTTTTTAATGCAATCAACAACGAAGAAGATTTTTTTTCAAACCCATTTCTTTAACAATGCACCTGTTTTTATTCTTGCCTTGAATATTTCTAGCAATTCACTATTGGGAAACATTTTTTTTCTAAATAAAGCTGCAGCGTGATCCGAGCATTCAGTGGCAGTTGTGCTCCAGTAAAAAAAGGCAGAGAACAGACATTCTGCATTAAAAACTTTTTGGTCCTTCATTTCCGGAAAAAAATTTAATTTTCCGTTTTTTTAAAAACAACTCATGTTATCCTTGTGTTTTTGTGTACGCACATGTTTGAGAACATCCGCCCTTCCACCATGCGAAATCGAAAAATCACAACGACAGGCAGTACACATCGCAAATTATTACATTTCCTTGAGAAAATAATGGAAGGAAAGTCAACTGTGTACGATTTTTGAAACGTACACGAGTATTTCACCTTTCTCGCAGACATAACAAAAGATGATAATTTCTAAAACTATTTCCCTAAGGCACATGTACTCACACAACTCAGGACAAAATGAACGAAATAACTAAAGAACATACAAATAACAACTTGCTTTGTTGTCATTGGCTAATATATGCCAGCTGACATGCAGTGGAACTCGATGCCCGTTGGAGAACTGGAGTACGACGTTTCTGGATACGTATATGCTCTCACTCACAAAGCAGAAGTTATCTGATTCGCAAGGTTTTGTTTTAGATATAATGTAGAGAAATTCAATTTTTTCAGACGTCCAAAAGCCACTTTTTTTTAATTCATATAACGTAAAAAGCCAAGTTGCATAAGATCGTGAGAAATTTTAAAAGAAAGTCGGGAGAAATTTATTGTAAATCGGGTTGGCGGGAGAGCGGTCGAAAATCGGGAGTCTCCCGCTTAAATTGAGAGAGTTGGCAACTCAGTGTTATTTGCAATTATTTAATAGTAAATACAGAGTTGTAAACTTCAGCAAACATTTTGCATACATTTTGCATACATTGTCTCTGTGCTATAGATGATTTATTTTTTTTCCTTGTAGCAAAAAACTTTCAGCTATATTAATCTCTCAGAATTTTCAACTTGAGAAAAATCAATACTTTCTAATTCCAAGTCAGTTTAGAAGCATATCACAATGGAATGTATGAGTCAAAATCTATCAATAGTTATGAACAATGACAGAGTTCTAATGCAGCATTTCATGAATTTATTCTGAGCAGGCCAATCAACTCATCAATATTCATATCAGCAAACCAACTTTATGAAGCATGTACCTTTGAGGCGAGAGCACAGTTGTGCTGGAAGAGTAACAGGTTTATAATAAACTGTTGTCACACAGGCAATGCTAAACTGTTTTGAAAAGTGAGAATAGGCACCTTTATAGAAAGCTTCATTCAGCTGCCCAGGAGCTTAGTCTGAACTATGAGAATAACCCTAAACTGTTATGCTCCTGCAGCTAAACTTTCCTCTGGACACAACATATTGGTCAATAACATGCACTTGATGTTCTCTGCATTCAAACAAACCCATCAGACTGTTAGATAGAGTAGGAAGTTTCACTGCTCCAATGCTGCATAGCTTTAAATCATTGTAAGTAATGCTTGGTAATAATTTACGGCAAAAATGGTTAATTAAATTTGGTTTATGTGGCTGCTCATCCATGAAAATATAAAGTTTGGAGCTTGAAGCAAATTGTTTACATTTGCAGGCAGTTTAGAAATCAGCATAAATATTTTCTGCTGATACGAAGCAGTTTGTTTCACAACCCTTTTTCACACATTCCAGACAACATATAACAGATTATGCCTGCAATATATAGAGCTCCAGGATATTTTTCTATTCCTAGTATATCATTTTACTATAGAATGGGGAATAAATAACATGATAGAAGTTTCTTACTACAAACAGCATCCAATCATTTCAACACATTCAGCCATTTGTCTCCCATTTTTCATTTTTTTTCTCCCTCAATAAAAATCATGAAATTTCTTGTTTCCTTTCACACTTCCAATTCATGCTGTGATATTAGTAGTATAATTCATGACCTCTCAGGCTGTCAAGATAATTTTTGACTATACACTAAATTATAAATTGATATGCTATACAATTACTTATTTATTTTTTAGCTATAAAATTACTTATAAATGCAACACAAAACACAATTAGTAGTACTTACCACTTGTATAAGCTATAGGTACTAACTGAGTATTAGTAGTAGAAGAAACAGGAGCTGGTAAAGCAAGCCGAGTGCTACTTGCAGGCAATGCAGGTTGCTGGCTCCCTGACTCTTGTACATCTAATATTAGAAGAATAACACACTATCAGTACCATATATTAACTTCAACACATTAAGGTTTGCTCATTTTAGAGATGATAGAGCCCCATTTCCATTAAAGCAGTATAGATGTAGTTTCCCAATCAATAATAAGTTAGTTTTAAATACATAAATAAGTAAAACTTCCAAAGATGAGATTATCTCTCCCCTGAAGTAAATTGTCTGTTTGAACTTAATTTCACTGAATGTACCATTGCTATAATGTTTTACTTGACTGTGAAACAATCACTTTTAATTTCATGTTATACTCTTCAGAACATATTTTATCTAATACCCATTTTAGGTAACTGGCTATGATACTCTCTTTTGTCCTGACTGATTATCACTCCTGTTATATAGTTATGTACTGATCTATCTAGATTGGGAGTGGGGAATTTTAAAAAAATCAGTTTTCAAATGGGAAAAAAAAATATTAATCTGAAAAACACAAAATTTGTGTACTGCTTGAAGATTATTTAATTTGGAAATTTTATACACCAAAACCATGTTGTAAACACTACAAATACAGAAGGATCTGAATTGAAAAATTGTGTTCCTATGAACCCAATATATTTTTACAATATAATGTGAAAGCAAAATTAGCGAACTGTAACTTGTAATTGTTTTTATTTGCAGAAAACATGAATTTTCCATTGACAGAAATAAATAAAATAAAATCATGTATTTGGAAACTATGATTTAAAATATATATATATATATATATATATGTGCAAGAGAACACAGCTTTATATTTTTATCTGCAGAAAAAGAAAAAGATGCTGTTTGCAGAAAATTTAGATAATATCATATGAATTCAAGAAAATCTCTCATTAATTGACTGTTTATTAGACCAACTGAATTTTATGTTATACAAAGATCCACAGTTTTTCTACTTTGTCTTACAATTAATATTGTCTCAAAATTTTTCATCAGAACTTTTTTAACCTTCCTGTGAGAATTTGAAGAATTATTAGGTAATAGGAATTTGACGTACATTACCAAGATAGTCATCTTTCATTCTGTTTTATATGAATGTGTATACACACAGTCAAATCACATTAATATGGCCACTCATTAAAATCCAGAATAAAAACTATGGACAGTGATTAGAGAGGCATGGAAAGATTCAATAAGGTGTTGGGAAGTGCTGATTTGAACAGGAAGCCATGTTGAGGGTGCATGGCAAAGGATGCACGAAGTGAATATTTGATTGAGGTAGTTGCATAGTTTCTCCATTGGGTTTGAATCTAGGGACTTTGAAAGGCAGCAAAGTCTTCCTAGTGCTCTTCCAACTACTCATGTACATTCCTAGCAGAGTGACACATTGCACTGTTATGCTGGAAGGCATCACCTTTCCCAAGGAAGAGAACCTACATCAGGGATGTCAAACTCATAGGTACACTTGGGCCAAACAAACAAGGTTTAACTTTAGGCGGGCCGCAAAAAAAAATCAATATTCAAAGAAACGTAGATTTATTTCGAATAATACAATAATAAACATATACATATATTTATATAGAAAAGAACAAGAAAAATTTAATGTTTACGTCCTGATACTTGACATCTCTTCTCTGCTATTATCTTTCCTATTTCGGGAGAAATTTTGTTTGCAGTGATAACTTTCAATGCTGACCCAAGGTGAGCATCATTAATACGGTTTCTAATAAGAGACTTATTACCTTTCATGACTAAAAAAAAACTGTTCGCACCGATAAGTGCTACCAAACATGGAAATAATTTCATATGCGAATTTTCGAGTATTTTCAAACCTGGCTGGTAAATATTTGTAAAATTCAGGCATGCCCACTTCAATGAATTTTGCTTTCAAATTTGAGTTGCATTGAATCTCGATCACCTCCTTTTGCATATGGCTGGGTACTGAGTCAATACTTATTGAGAAAAGAGAAAACAAAAAAAAATTGTCTTCGAGGGAACTAAAATCATTAAACTCGTTTCAAATTCAGTTGTTTTAAATTTGCAATTTTTTCTGCGTATTTTGATATGAACAAGTATCATCTAAAACTTGATTTGTTCATGCTGCACGTCGGAAAGTGCGTCAAATCTTCATTTTTAAGTTGTTTTTCCCAAGAACTAGTTGACATTTGAATGCTTTAATTAGGTCAAACATGTTCATAATGATATGATCTTTTCCTTGTAACGATAAATTTAAATCAGGTTAAGTGTTTGGTTATATCAACCAAGAAAGATAAATCTTGTATCCATATTGGATCATAAAACAAAACTCGTTGATTTTTCGTTTTAAAAACTGACATATTTCTTCTTTCAAATCTCAGAATTGTTTGAGAATCTTGGAGCAAGATAACCAACGTACCTCGGTATAGTAGGACAAACCCGAATATTCACTATCTAACTCACTTAAGAAAGCAGTGAATTGACGCTGATTTAAACCTCGAGATCTTATAAAATTTATAACTTTTTTTATATATGACAAAACATTCTCCATATTTATTACTTTCGTGCATAGAACTTCTTGATGTATAATACAATGCATATGATGAATGTTTGAACCGTGAATTTCACTAAGTTTTTTCTTAGTAATGCTACGAAGCCCTTGTTTTTCCCGGTCATTGATGGAGCGCCATCTGTAGCTACAGAATTTAATTTTGCCAAAGGTAGATTGTATTTCTGCAGAAGTCCAAAAACACAAGTAAATCTTTTTCTGTGGCAGTACCAGGCATCGGTATTAGTTCCAGTAATTCCTCAAAATGTTAAAATTCTTGTCACAAGAACGAAGAAACACTGCTAATTGAGCTTTGCCACTATGTCCGTGCTCTCGTCACAGGCAATGGAGAAACTTTCGAAACTAGATGATTTTGCTTTGATCTGATCACTTAAATTCGCGGCTAAATCAGTAACTCTTTCCGCAACTGTATTTCGAGATTCAGGACAAAAGCCTTCACATCCAGCTTTCATTAGGCATTCCTTGATGAAATCACCGTCAGTAAAAGGCTTCGAATGTTTAGCTATCAACTCGGACAAGACGTAGCTTGCATGTACCGCCGCTTCACTTTCTTGCAATACTTTACTAAACATGGACTGTTGCTTTTTCACTCCTAACTTGAGCTCTTTCAACTTTCTTCTCTCATTAATCCTTCGTAATTGTTATATTTCGATTTGTGTTGTTCGTAATGACGTTTAATATTATATAACTTTGGTACATTAATAGTATTATTACATATCAAGCAGATTATTTTACCTTTTATTTCACAGCAAAAATATTTTAATGCCCATTTTACTTGGAATATTCTATGTTCGTCAGCGATTTTTCGTTTAATTTTACTACCACTTGGTTTTGATATAGACATACTGAATACAAAGGGCTGGAATAAACACGGTTAACGTTAAAAAGTTAACAAAAATTTCTTTCCACAAGAGATAAATCAAAATGCTGAAGTATTTCTTCAAAATATTCTAACAATATCACAAAATGTCAAACGTTTAGCAAAAATCAATTCAAAACAGAGAAACTAATTCTATCTCACAGCGAAATCGCTACAAATCAATCACAGCATTAAGTAAACAAACAGTTTGCTAGAACTACAGCTACTACTGGATGAGTTGTTTGTTCTCGGCTTTTATAAGCTTTATAATTAATTTCTCGAATATACTGGAAACATCTATAAATATCTGGATTTTTGTGGATGGCAACAGCAATTACGAGATATTTATTTATTAGGTATTAAATGCACGCGCTGTTCTATTTTTAACCTTCCAACGCAGCTGTCTTTTCAAAAATCGTCTGCGTTGCTAAGGCAACATGAAGCAAATCTAATTACAATTCTAAATAAAAAAAACTAAATAAATAAAAAACTATGAAATCCGTAACAATATGAATTAAGTAATAATTAATAATAAAGCAAAGTGCATGCACATGCATGCACCAATATATCGTACAAAACTATGATTGGAAAACTGAGACCATGAGTTCGGCCACATTCGGCTATCGGGGATGCGTACAAGTTCTGAGTGCACGTGGCCCCCAAAAGCCGAAGGTAGCTGAACGCAAGCTACTTCACACGCATTTGTAATTTAAGTAGTGTGTGTGTCAGCTCGCTGTGAGTAATCTAACAACACTGAATAAATTATCGTTAATTACTTAGCAGTAAACATTTCATTTTTTTCTTCGTCGATATGTTATTTTATTATTATATATTATTTGCCGATATATTGGCCGGGCGCAAAAATATTTGTTGTGGCCGCATGCGGCCCGCGGCCACGGTTGACATCTTGACTACGAACGATACAATAATCAATCCATGCTGCATCCATAATAAGAGGACCCAAAAACTGACAAAAAACATTCCCTAGATCAGAGGTGGGCAAAAGCTGGATTGAAGACCAAATACAGTCTTTTTAATCACTTAACCTATTATGAAATTTTTTCACAATGACATTTTCACCTCTTTCCTATCCAATTTTATAAAAAAAAAAAAAAAAAAAATTAGCAGCATAAAATAGCAGAATCTATTGTTTGAGTTTATATGTGCATATATACAGATATGATTACACTAGCAGTCCATCTAAGCTGTGAACACTAGATTGGCATCTTTTCCATTAATTAATTTAGAAATTAATTATTTATTTATCAATTAATTTAGAAATTAAACAATGAAATATGAATATTGTTGAGATTTGACTGATTGGAAAAGAGAATTAGGGAAAGAACATTCCAATCCTTAAATTTTTGTCTATACATGGAACAGTATACAAATCAATTATTTGAGGACCAACAGGAAAAGATCAAGTTATTGGAAGACATACATGCAGTATTAAATATTGCTACGAGTGAACTTAATTTGGATGAAACAAATGCAGATGAACAATTGAGATTTCATTTCTCACATTAAATATACATTAATGATTAACTTTTTTTACCACACAATGCCTGTAATAAAAATTTAAAAGCATACAAAGCTATAAATTTATTTTTAAAAATTTTAATTAATCATTGATGCCTTTTGGCTTCATATTCCTTGAAATTTATGTGCACACTTTCTATTTCATTGATTGACACACATGCAAGGCCATCAGGAAACCTGTATGCATAAAATGGTATTTTTTAAAGTAAAAAGTATGAAATTAAATGCATAAAATGGTATTTTGAATTGTAATTTTTATTTTTTTAATTCTACCCAGGAGGGATGATCCTCTCTCCCCTACTGTGTGCTGGCAAATAATACGGCACCACAAAAGATCATCAAGCACTAAGGCACCTTGAAATGGCACTGCCCACATGATGCATTAAAAAGACCTTGGCACATTCTTAAAAGTTTTTGCCCAACATTCCTTAATTATAACATTGCCAACATCAACTTGTAATTATCCATAAATGGTTGAGGGTGTTTTTACTTATGTTTCCCACCAATAAAATGATATTAATATTATTATTAATATAGATATTCTCATTATCCATTTGCTGTAGAGCCTCATATACAGCAAGGTTCGGTGAATTTTCTGCACAAAGCAGAATGGCAAAAAAGAATAGACGGTAATAAATAAAAATGAGACATGTTAATAAAAGAAGACAGACTTACTCAAGAATTGTGTACACAGTATTAAGAAAAAAGTGGCCAAACACTCTCCTATTCTATGCTTACCATTCCATACAGAACAACAAAAGACTAAGAACTGCAGTGATGATAATAAAGGCAAAATAAGAACTGGATCTGCACTTTCAACAAAAAGTGAAAGGGAAAAATGAATTTCATTATCAAAATTCCAAAAATTGAATCTGGTTTAACTGCTAACTGAATTCAACATCTGAAGTAAACATTTCCAAAAGGCTATATTGTGACAGTGTGCATAAATATACTGCTACATGCTTTCATAGCTAATAAGAATACGTTTTCAGGGGAAAGAAAACTCATGACTTGTGCACTGCCCATCATGAGAGCCTCAGTTCCAGAAAGAATCACAAAAATGCTGCTTCCGCTTTCAATAACAGCTGTCGCAGCTTGATTCATCAACAATAATCAACATGTACAATACCTGTGACAGTGATACAGACGATGTCAATTAATGCAAAGTAAATGGACACTATCATAATATCATGAAATTCGATACTCATCTTATGAAATTAAAACTCTCATACTTAGCACCCACATACAGTATAACATATCTCCCGATATTTTCAATTTTGTATTGTTTGTGCTTTTTTACTATAACAGTTTAGATTTATGTATACCTTAACCCTTTCCCTATATGCATTCCCTATGAAAGTCTCATACGGCCAGCCATCAAACCCATGCATCACTGGAGAATGAGCTTAATGAATAAGTGATGCATACATGCATTTTAAGCTCAATTATTTTTTAAGTTGCTAGATGGTATCCTGAGTCCTTTTGAATTGAACATAGTTTGAAGGGCCTGTCACATTCTGCCTAAATTTGGTGTCAGCTATTGCAGGAGAGTAAGGATAGCGTAATGTAAACAAACAGAGACTAGCTCTTAAATCACTTTTATTTCACCTTTGAATACTTTTTTAATTATTTTCTTCACTACTATTTAGGGTCTTTTAGGATTACTATGTGGGGTTGTGTTGAACTTTGCTTTGCTTTTATTATGTTTCATGCATTTCCTTTTTTATTTTGGAAATCCTTGATTCCAGTTTGTTATGGTGAACAAGCATTATTTATGACATGCAGGATATATTCATAAGGTAAATGAGCCAATTATGGATATGGATGATAAAAGATGATTCATTTTTTAAAGAGTTAGGAAGCGATATCCCTAGTGATTCTGATACGAACATTTTATCAGAGACTGAGCTCATAAGTGCCTGCCTTCCACTTCCCTTAAAAATTTTAATAATTTTAAAAATTATTGATGTATTTTGGAGAATTTAAATAAATAAATAAATAGCACTTTCAGTATAGCACAATAAATAGCAGAATAATTTAAATAGCACTTTCGGAACTATTTCTCAAAGCAAGCATATTCTTTTTACATATTTTCATGTAAAGTAAAGGAAAGATTATTAAATGCTAATTTTAATGTATGTGATAGCTTACATAATAATCGAAAATGGTACCAAAAAAATTATGATGTTAGGACTTTTTAATTTTTTTTTTCTAAAGCTAGGCTTGGCGATGCGAAGCTTCCATCTTCTGGATGATTCCTTTCAACTCCCATTCACCCCAGAGAAACATCTTGAACAAAGGCGTGCTGTCTCAAAAGGGTTAATATACAAAATACAGTTCAGCCATACACATATATACTATATTTCCTTCCTGCTTGTAAATATGCATTTTTTCATAGGAAAGTTTACTCTGAATTTTTAACCCCTTTGTGACGGCATGTTGCTGAATTAAAAATCCTCTGCAGATGGGTGAGTCATATATGCATCAGGCCCAAATATCGCTAGCAGCCGTGCGTTGCACTGGTTCAACACACCGACTCCAAGGTGAGTTGCACTAAGCAACATGCTGTCTCATAAAAGAATTAGCTGCTGATGTGTATATGATACACCCAACCTGAAAGGGTTAATGATTTTATGATCTTCAATTTATGTTACAGTAATTAGTTTTTAAATCATGGCAAACATCAGTAAATCCCTTATAGAAATGCCCCCCAATTAAAAGATAAATACGGTAGCATAGTTGTGATTTTTTTTAATTCTTAAAGGAATTACTAATTCAAAATATGTATAACAATATATAATATTTAAAATAATAATAATATAAATAACCATGGTTATGTTAAGACAGATAAATATAAAGAAAGAAATTTCTAACATAAAAACTTGATTTAAAGACTTTACTAATAACACACTTTTGTTAAATATCTTCTCTTTTATACCAAGATAAATTATTTTAGCACAAATCATATTGTATATACATTCAGAATAATGGAATAAATAATAAAATAAAATTAATAACATGTATAATTTTTTACCTTCTTCCACTATGGGACTTTGAATGTCATATATATCTATGTCCATATCCACAATTTCTATTTCTTCGTCAACTTCCATTTCTTCAACCATTCTCATTGACATCTGTACTTTCTCTGTGATGATTACTCGGCTTATGACACGTGTTATATTTTCAAGAGTTTCTGAGCTGTCAAACCACTCATCATAATTTAGATCTTTTACTTCTTTCTGAGCTTTCTTTTCATTCTATACCAAAAAAAGTATTAAAAAAAGCAAATCAATTTGAATAATCAAATTTTTCAGTATCCAACCTTAGACTTACATCATTTTTTAAAAATCTCATATCAAAATATCTGTTACATATTTTTATGCAAGGAAGGAAAAAATCTGATATGTCCAGGACATGACCTTTTGCCAAAAGAACTTGAAGTAAAACTATCACTTCCGATTGATCATTTGTAAATAAAATCTAATTCATTCATAAACTTTATGGCTGGATATTAATTATAAACACTATGCATTTTTTTATTTTTCTATTCTCCCATACAGTAGAGCATGTTAACTGCATGTGATCATGTACACAAGTCATTTTTCTTATGCTATGATTTTGAATGCACAGTAAAAGCCTGCAATTAACAGCTTTCGATAACAGTCATGGCTGGTGGTTAAGGTATATACACAAAGGCAACTCAACTTAATTTCGAAAAATCACCAGTTTTTATTTTTACGCATACCAATTACTTTGGCAAACATTTATTCAATCATAATTAAATATGATAAATTTCTATGTACATTGGCTTTTTAAAATAAAATGGCATAGTCACTTATGAAGCGAAGCGATGGGGATGTATTAGCAGTGGCAAAGGTAGTAAAGGAATGAGATAGTTTTTTGTGCCAAGAATATTTATATGAAGCCTGACATATACGAAGAGCTAATCTGTAAATTGGTTAATTTGAGGTAGTTATATAATACAGAAGATTCTCAAATTTGGGAGAACAGATGAATTTAGGAAAAAGCACCAACTCTAGAATGTTAATTTTGGTCGCCAATTATTTTTAAAGCAGCCATCGTATTGTCTTATATCTCACATACATCTGCCCTCAAGCTTTCATTTCAAAACACTACATCGATCTTAGTCTTCTGGTCATATAGCGTTTCAGATTTACAAATCAATAACTTAACAATCACAAAATTTTTAAAAGCAGTATACCTTTAGATTTCCTAATAGAGTTTTTAGTGTTGCTACAAATTTCTTTAAAGTTTTTTTCTCAATTTATGATTTGATATCCAAACAGAGAATTAATTGTGGCCATACCTTTTTTTATATTCACTGTATTATTTATAATTTGTTATATTATGTCATTAAAAATAATACATGGCAATGACATTTGGTGGCAGCGTCTTTTTATTTGACAAGTAATTCGACAGAAAAATGAAACAAATATAAAACTGATCATTGAGGCTAATATATTTAATTGCTCCATAATGATAGTTCATCTTCATAATGAGCTTATTCTTACCACATTTAGTATACTTTTATGAATACATTTAAAGCTTATAAATGAAACATGTTGTTCTTCAAAAGTCTGTTCACAGCTTCAACTAAAGAATAACTTCTGGTTTATCAATTTTAGCCAAAATATAGTGTACAATTCACAATGAAGTCTTAAATACTAAAAATTGAAAAGTTTTGGATTATATAATAATATAGTTTTCATTAAAAACTGTTATAGGCTACAAACAAAATATCACTTCTGCTTGTACAATTTTACCCAAAATCTAATCAATTCTTTATATCAACACAGAGAGCTTAAATATAGAAAACAGAAATTTTTGGAAGTTTCATATAAGAGTTAGCATAAATGAAAAAAATCATCACACACATACACACACACAGACATCATTGTAAAATAGTAAAAATGTGTTGAGGAGCCCCTAATTTGCCCCCATTCATTGAAACTCACTATCGAATTTTAGATCAAAAACATCATTTTCTTTACCTACTTATATAGGTAGGCAGGAGGTAAAAAAAGAATACCAAAAGATATTTGTCACCAACAAAATAATATTTTCATGCAATACAAAAGAAGAGTTACTTTCAATTGTGTACTGTACCCCCCTGGGGGTTGACTCAGGAGAATTCCTGGGAAGTACTGGTTAGGATCTGTACCTAGGCAGTCTCAACCACGGGGGTATTATAATTTGACTTCACAGGACTAGAACCCGAGTATTGTACTCAGGTTAATTCAGACTTGGCAGGGACCATACTGGTACTGTTGTGTCTGTTCCTTCGGATGTGGTGGAGCTAGATTGGAGATCGTTGACCAAGTCCCCGGGAGTTTGACCCCGATTCAGTTCTCGTGACGGGGACTGACAGAGTGATCAGAGCACACTTTACGACGTACGTTTAGCCGATGGAGTGGTGCCCGGATATTCAATTCATACCTGCGATTTGTTCTGTCCAATGCTTTGTATAAAGCTGGGCAGGGATGTATAAAGCTGCGGAGGTTGCACCCGCGTGGACCATACATATCCAAACTCCGGATGGGTCTACAAGTCGGACCTGGGTCAGGGTGTCCAATGCTTTGTATAAAGACAGGCGAGGACTGCAAAGGTTGCGTCTGCATGAACAAGGTCCCCTGGACCATAGATATCCAAACTCCGTATGGGTCCACAAGTCGGACCTGGGTCAGGGATCTATGCTTGTTTGCTGCGTCTGTCTACTGCAAATTCAAAATATGCAAATCTGGGCTAATTGGGACTAAAGCGCATTCAAATAATGTACAACTGATTGTCTTTCCTTTGCATGGCAAATAAGTATTTAATATAAAGCAAATAAAGAAATTTTATTTTTTAACATGATTTATTTTAACCCTCTAAGCGGCAAGGCCGTATATATACGGCCTAGAATATTTATTGTGATACCTCTAAGAATGTATATATACATGCATATTAAAATATGTCAATGAAATTAAGGCAATACGTCAAAAGAAAACAAATCCAGGTATGAAATACCAATAGAGTTTTTACATTAAAATCAATAAAATAATTTGTTCTCATAGTAGTTTTGGGAAATTTGCGCTTTCTTAGCGAAAACCCTGGCCGCCCAGAGGGTTAACAAAGGTTACATAGTTTTAAAAAACGTAAAACTCGCTTAATTTCAATAAAATTGAATGATTTTTTATTGAAATTAAGCGAGCTTGTTATTTTATTTCCTTAACAACTGACTTCTATTTCAAATACAGTAAAAGATAAAATTAAATTTTATACCTAGGCTCTAAAATTAAAAAGAATACTGGTTTGTCATCCATAGAGAGAAACCTGACCTGACCAGCAAGTTTAATCAGGCTAATTTACAGATTAATTAACAGGCCTACATACAGCATCTACTTAGCTTTTTATGAACATTTATAGGCTGTATATTTTCCAAATGATATATGGTAATACATCATTAACTTATAACATTTTTCAATTTGATAAGAAGGGTCTCGTATATATATTGACTTGCATTAAATTATTTTTTTAAAGAAATGCATTTATCTAAAGCTTAAAAATATGCTGTATTGCTTTATCTTTCAGCTTTATTTAAAGCAAAGGGGAATGACTAAAAATAATGAAATGAACAGCATGCTTAATTTAAAATGATCTAAAAAATCAAAATATGATTCAGATAATTGGACTTGCACAACATTAAAATTCTTTTTCTAACTTTAAAATGCCTAGAAACTAATCTATTTTAGAACGTTCAATACTTAAAGTATATCAGAGTTTATTCACATTTTGAAAATAATGAAAACCATTTCACTAAATATCTTATAAAATATTTATTATACACTGAATGCATTGTGATGCAATTTAGGAAGTTAACACATGACAACTTGTTATTGTCATGTCACTGTATCTTTCATCTCATTTTTATATTAATTTTATGTTTAGTAATCTTATTACAATTAAATTTTAAAGAAGAGAGAGAGATAGAGCCAAAAAAGAAGAAGAGAAAATTCCTTTAGAGAAAAAGAGCCTATTAAATATATTCACACTTTTTAAATGAGCTGATATTCGGTTCAATTGCTTCCCTTTCATCTGATAAGAAAAATCAGCTGTTATTATGTTAAAGTGTGCCTTTTCTACTCTGACTTTTGGTCATACCATAAATTAGGTAACTAAATTATAAATAACCATACTTAGGGTAACTAAAGTATAAATAAGTTAATTTAAAGAAATACTAACACTTTGAGTCCCTGAATATGGAAATCTCACAGCCATGTCCAAAAGATAAATGCACAAACTAAGTATTTGCTCAGGTATATCTGGATCATTCACAGCCTATATTAAAAAATAAAGCATTTAGTTTCCATGATAAGAATAATGCACCTCTTTACACTTTTAAGAGATTTTTGAAAACACAGCAACACATTATCGACAACATGTCCAAACAGAAAATACTGAACTTTTACTGTTTTCCCTTTCACACATATTGCATATTAGTTTTACATCTTTTAGACTATTATAAGGATAGAAATTCTATCAGGTGGATATACAAAAATTATTATGCGCAAGGTTACAACTTGCTTTTCTCAAATCAATTTTATATCAAATTCTTCAACATGTTTGTTACAGATTTATATTTTTACTACAAAGCCAATATTTATTTACACACAAAGAAAATGAACATTTATGATAGAGTTTTATTTTTCAATATTCCAAAGCAAATATTTAAAAGGAATGAATAGTAATTATCCAGAGATTATTACTAAAGCATAACCTCTGCCTGCCTGCCTGGGTGTGTGCATTAATTCAGAATTACACTGATGTTTTGCATAATAAACATCCTATACAATAAATGTCCTGCATAATAAACTTGTACAACAGCCCAAAAAATATCCCAGATAAAACTGATCCCATACTATAACTGCAGATGTAATAAAATACAGCTCTTTCAGGCGGCAACAAAACTTACACACCAAAAGAGGAAAAATTTCAGGCACAACCTTTGAGAAGAATTAGCTTTTTATGACTAATGTTCAGACTGAGATTGGCTAAACTACTACTTAATTTCTGAGTGGAATTGCAATTCCAGCTGAAATCCCAATAAGATGATAATTTTTTTTTCATTTAGTTTCTGAGTAGAATTGCAATTTTAGCTAGAGTCCCAATAAGATGATAATTTTTTTTATTTAACTATTTATAATTGATTTAATAATGTATTAAATTTCTATTTATCTCTTTATATTTCTTCTAATGTTAATTTAATTATTTTAACTTTTAGTTATTTAATTAGTTCCCCCCCCTCCCTTTCTGATAATCTTCCATAGGGCTCTGATGCTTCTAATTTTAGAAATTAAGCTCTGTGTATGTGCTATTAATACTATTACCGTGTGTAAACTGATTAACTCTTTTAGGATTAACTCTAATTCTCATTTCACACATTCGACACTTTTGTTGATATTTTTGATATTTATAGCCACAGCCCTTTTTTGGATAAAGTAAGCTTTTTTTAATTATTATTATTATTAAATAAATAATTTTGTTTTTGTGATAAATGTGGTTTTTATGCTCTTATGTGGATATAATACCACAGCAATTAAACCAGATACAAAGCATGATCTTTTTACAGTCTTACTGCACTTTGCAACACTGCTGACGGATCCCCGAGTGCAGACCAACCCCCTTTTCGGCCTGTGTTGTTCAAGTAAATCTCTTTTTCATTACAAGTGACACTCCAGTCTAGAATTTTGCCGTTGCATTGATATTCGAGCGGATCAGTGCAGGCCGAACAAGTCTGCCCTCAACTACTTGAGTAAGCTCCTCCAGTACTCAGGGATTAAACTTGTACACCAAGCTTATGCAATGCATAGCATGACTAATGAGCATGGCACTAACATTTAACTCCTTAGCACACTCTTGAGTGGTTGCATACTGGTCTTCTTCCACATCGGTAGGCTGGCCAGAGAGCTCTGCTTCCTGAATGTTATAGTCCTTTGTTTTTAAACTTTCAGTACCAAACCTTGACTTTTATAACACAGTGTTCTAAAGCAAGTCTTTCAAATGCCAAAAAATGTTTGACAAAATTAAACAACCCACCAACACGAACTGTTTGCACAGATGGTATCTGCAGTGGCGGGAAACTTTCATTAAAACCCGGTAATTTAAATCAATACAGATTTGGGTGTGAATTTGATTCAAATTTATTATTAAAATTTGAATTTGATTCAAATTCACACTCTGAAAACTGTTAAGAGAATTCAGTTAAGTAGAAGAGAACAATCTGAATAGAAGAATTTCTACATAAAGCATATTAAATCATTCTACCTTCCCCCCTCCCCAGTTTTACAATATACAAATACTCAAGTCAACATAGTGTGCTAAACAAAATGGATTACATACAGAGAATAGAATTTCCAAAAGAATGGTTTTACTAATTCATAAACTTCAAAAAGCCTTCTATGCATAACTGAAAGCTTCAGATATTAAAAGCAGAATGAAAATAAAATTTACTAAAGGTACTGAAAACACTGGTGTAGCTTCCAATAAATTAATATTTACAAAAAAAAAATTCAACAGAAATCATATCCTTAATTTACTCAGTATGAGGAACTCAAAATATAAATTATATCATAAAAACAGCATAATTTTATTGACAATTTTGGTTAAATATGAGTAACTTGCAAAATAAAATTTGTATATAATAAAATGGCAAAATTAAGAACACCTGCTTGAACATTTTTATAGCATTCATCATAGTACATGGTTACAGAACAGTTTTGACTACCTGGGTTTTATATTTATATATGAGATAATAATACTAAATGTAGTCATCTTTAAAATAGCATTTTAAGAAAGAAACATTTCTATTTTTCACTTCTCTATTATACAAAATTATTATTATAATTACAGAATTTAAAACAATAAATACCCGATGCAGAATAGTAAATATTATTCCATGCATAGTTTTGCTGTGGAGAATTCTACGAGGATCTACAAACTCTCTGTGCACAGGACCAGGAATTCGGAATGGTGGCCAAGGAGCATGAGAACCAGAATATTTATTAGCTTGGCGTAAGCTATAATGCATAAAGTATATCTACATCAGTCAAAAATTCTTCATAATCATTATAAAAAGTATTCATATACCAAAAGTATTAACGGATAATCAGAGCTATGTAATCAGATTAATATTATCCAATTTTCAATTTTGTAAGCAATTAGTTATGTAACATACATGGAAATAAACTTGTACTACATGGAAATTGAAACACTTCCTTAATAATATGGAACATCTATCATATGAATTACACAAGGGCTATTCAGAAAGTAACTTATATTTTGCCGCTGCACAGCGAGACATGGTACTAGCATCCTCATCTTGGTGTCGGAGTGTCTATCAAGTCCTTATGCACATGGTTGTAATTGTTGGTGGTGCGTGTTGCCTCCGCTTTGTTTACTGTGAATGTTTAAAATGTTTGCAGCAACAGAAAATACCGCCAGTTTTGAATTGTGATCAGTGATTATAATTTGGTTCGCAAAAAAAAACTGAGAACAGTTGAAATTTATTGAGAACTTTGTACTGTGTACGAAAATGACATAATGAGTGAAGCCAGAGTGAGACAATGGTGCATCATGTTTAAAAATGGGTGCACTAATGTTCATAAGGAAGCATGAAGAGACCAGTCGAGCACTGTTACTACTGAACTGGTAGAGAAAACTGACAAAAAGATGAAACTGCTACTTCACAATTTCGTGAAAACTGCTACTTCACAATTTCAGAGCTCTTATTAGTTTCCTCAAATTTCACGAACTTTGTTGTTTGGTGTCATGATGCAAGATCTAGGCCATTATTTGTGCCAGATAAATTCCAAAACTCCTGTCAGAAGACAACAAAAATCAAAGCATGGCAACAGCTTTGCCATTTCTCGAGGTGTAACACAAACATGGTTAATCACTTCTCAATCCTGTCATAAAAAGAGACGAGATTTGGGTACAGTTCATGACTTGCGAGACAAAACAACAGTTTAGGCAGTGGGGTCGCACAGGTTCTCCTAGCCAAGGAAATATTTGCAAACACTGTAATCAAAAGAGATCATGACAACTGTTTTCTGGAACAGGGAAGGTGTGCTTCTGGTGGATTAACTCAAGCATGGTGAAACAATAAATAGTGAGAGATAATGTAAAACATTAAAGAAATTAAGAAGAGCAATACAAAACAAGCATCCAGGAAAGTTGAGTTCCAAGGTTTTTTTCACTCATGACAACACATGGCCCCCAAACAGCCATTCAAATTCGACAGCTCTTTGATGGTTCCAAATGGGAGTTACTTGATCATCCATCATACAGTCTGGACCTTACTCCCAGTGATTTCCACTTGTTTTCACATAAGAAAAATTGGCTTGCAACACAGCGCTTTCATGATGATGAGGATCTGCATGCAGGTGTCCATGCATGGTGTAAGTCTTGGGTGACAACATTCTATGACAATGGAATTAACAAGCTTGTGTACCCTTAAGATAAGTGTCTCAATTTATATGGAGATTATGTAGATAAATAGCTTAATAATGCACCTTTCAAATGTAAGTAATAATAAATGTTTACATTTGCCCAGAAGGACTATTAATTTAGTTTTGGCATTTTGTGTTGATTCACTATAACGGCAAATCACTTTTTAAATTGTTGCCACCAGATATTATCACTCTGTATTATATTTAAAGAAATTAAATAATGAAGAATATGCATAAACGTATGTATGTTTCTTGTATTGTAATAAAACATGAACATTTTGAATAACGTATGTCTCCACCCGAATATGGGCATCCGGAAGGCGAAATTTTGATTTGTTATATTATCAACTTCATATTTTGTAAGGTATTTATGAGTTTTTTATTAAGAAGCTCAACAATTTGAATGTGAGCAATGGCAACACTTATGGGAAAAAAACATTTTTATCTCCGCGTAAGACTGTGTATTTTGGAAGTTCCAAAGATATGCTCTTTTAAATATTTTGTGATATTACTGCTGAATTAAATTTTACGGTTTAAGTGCGAAGAACATGATATTTAATAAATAAAATAATGCACAAAACATTAAAAAAGCACCTTTAGGCGTAATATAAAATCTGAAAGCTTTGAGATTTTTTTTTATTATTTTTTCATTATTTTTATTTTATTTTAAAATGTAAGTTACTTTCTGAATAGCCCTCATAAACTCCCTCCATCATGTTAGAAATTTAAAGTTACAGATTTTATAAAGAAACTATCAGAAATACTCAACTTCACTCATCCACCCATTTATGGTCTACTCGCCAGAAGTTACATAGGAAACAAATTACAGCTAAATATGTAAGAACTATTTAAAAAATAAATGAATATATTGTCTAACAGCATATGAACTGCATTTAAATTACAAGGAAGAAAATATTTTCAAGACAATCATGACCAAAAATTATAATTTTGGGGAAAAGGAGCAGATTATTTGCTTTGTTTATAATATTATAGTTCGACTGCAGTAAACTGGTATATGACCTTGGACCCATTTATTTTTAAGTAGGGCCTACCAGGTTAGAAATTCTAAAAACAGATGATGCTTGATTGTAGCAATTGTAAACAATATAACTGGCATACAAATTTTAATTTCTAATTAAGAACAGGCTAACAAACAGTGCCAAAACAGGAAAATTTGCATCCACTTAATTCTAGAGCACCAGATTCTAATAGGCTGCCCCACCATCACGCTGGAACCACATGCAATCAAGAAAGACAGCCGGAACATCCAGAAACAATGGCGGTAAAACCTCTTCCAGAAAAATATGATAATGTGAGCCATTGAGACATGCAGGTAGAAGGTATGGATTTATGAGGTACACGTTAGCAATACTCACCCACAAATTCACAGCGAAGCAGATTTGGAATGCATGTGGATTATCAATTGCCCTCATAAGACTGTTGTGCACATTGAAGACACAGTCCTGTGTGAAAGTTGCCTAGTCTATGAACAGTACATCCGATGGGAAATCTGCCTGTGCTACACACTGCTGCAAGAATAAATGACAGAAATCAATGCACAGAGGGTTATCTGTGACTTGCAAAGCTTGGACTCTCTGCAGATGATATGGGTGTAAATGATGTTCATGCAATACTTTCCAAACAGTGGGCTGACTCACATGCAGAAAACATGCAGTAGCTCTTGTACTTGTGTGAGGTGTTTCATCCACAATGTTAAAGATGGGTTCTTCTATTGTGAGGTTGTCATACAGTTCTTATTTCACTTCTACTGTCAGAGTTAGCGGTAAATGACCTGCTTTGACACAGAGGCCGATGCAACCTCTTGGACACTGTGTGCTTCAGCATATGCCTGTTTGGAAACCATTCCTGGTACAACCATAGTACTACTCTGCCGTTCTCATCAGCAGCGCCATACATTACATGCATGTCAGCCTTTTAATTATGTGTAAACTTGCCAATCAAACTCAAAATCACAGTTGTGAATGACATTCTTCCACTGATGCAATGAATCACGGTTTGCCCAACTCACTACCGCCCTCTACCCACTGTACTTCCAGCCAGTCACAGCTGTAGTTCGTATTACTGTTAGTGGTCACAATTTTGTACATTTCTTATGAATACTGTATTGCTGCAAAGAAGCACTCTGTGTTCATTTTGTAAATAAACATACTTTTCCTCCCATGTCATTTTTTGCATTTGTGACTTAACATGTCACTTTAGACCCTGCATTCCTATACAAAAAATACACCTTTTAGTATGCGCAAACACCCCTCCACGTTTGTCCCCTGATCATAAAATCAACCTGTACATACAGGAGGATCTATTTGATTTCTTGCATTTGTATAGTTACAAAGGTTCCCTTAATAACCATTTTCATTTCAGTAACTTACTTTTATAATTGCTTACATATTTCAACATTTATATACTATACATTAATTATGACATTGAATTTATCAATTTTATATATTTCAAAACATCAGAACAACAGCAAAAATATGAAATAATAGCATACTGCTGAGTATATCTGTCTAATGATGACTGATATTCCCTACGGTGCACAGCTCTTAAAAGAACATGAATAGGATCATATTCTTCTTCCCAAATCTGAGGCTTTGGAACAAACATTCCTTGTAGCATCGTTCCTCCAGCTTCAAAATTTGGTGCTTTATAATCAGCAACCTAAAGAACAAAAAACACAATAAAGACTGCATTTACTTCTGAGTGCAAAACCTGCACCTTAATTCTTATTAATGTGTCTTTTACTTGTCCTTTTTTAAAACTAGAACAAGCAGTTTATACATAATTTTTAAAACTCTACAGATTAAAAAATCAGCATTAATAATTTTTCTATTAAGATAATAAAGACAGAAAGCTAATCCTTTATTATGATAAACTTTAAACTCATATTAAAAATATCAAGAATAAAAATATGTTTAAATCATTCTTATAATTAATACGTTAAAAGTATAACTATGTTTCCACACTTAGTTAAGCCAATGGTTTCACACTCTCATAATATTTCTTTAAATAAAATTTTTTAATTAACATCTTTTTTTTTTTTTTTTTTTTTTTGAATATTCTTTGATGTTTGCAGTGAGATACTATAGAAAGCTGCTGACTGCCCTCCCCCCACAAACACCAAAAAAAAAAAAAAAAAGTTCCAAGACCAAATTACAAATTAGAACAATTTCATAAGTAGCTCCTATTTTTCCCAAAGAAAGGACAGATATATATTGCTGCCCCAAAATTAATAATAAATTTGAATGATGAGATAATGAACACTGAATGTAAAATCGATGATATGAGACAGGAAGAAATCTAAATTATGATAAAAATAAAATTAATGAATGATAATACAAGAGCAAAAAAAAAAAATCCTAGATAACAAATTTTAAATGCTCACATTATTGCCTCTTTTATTCAAGAATAATTCGAAATCAAGAAAAGCAATAAGGATCTTTATGATAATGACTGAGGCCCAAGCTTTAAAAATTCGAAAGCAGTTACAGTAGCAGAAAGACAATAATGCAATGAAACTTTTATGTCTAAAAGCATTTCTTGATTGATTGTCAACTTAACAAAAGATTACTGTAATATATACATTGAAATAAATTTTACAATTCCATGTCTGATAATTCACACTTTTGTTTGCTGTTCAGACTAAAGTAGGTCCTGGTTGGTACAGATAATCAACATCCTGTGAACCTGTGATGTGTCACATGTCACAATATGTATTATTACATACATGACATAGCATTTTGATTACATATTACATCAGCTTAATATTTCTGCTCTACATTTCTGCTTTTAAACAATACATATACTCATTCTGTTAAGATGTCTAATAAGCAAAATATAAATTATTAAAAAATATTAAAAATAAAATTGTAATTAGCTTTTACTATAAATCTTGCATACAAGTTAGCATCCAATCAGAAAAAATTAAGCTTAGTTCAGGATGTATGGTGAAAGAAAACAAGAAATATAGATTTTTTGCATAATTTTTGCCTATTTATACATCCGTTTCTCAGATTATCAATATATTCATGTAAATATAATTAATCAATGTCAGGAAACATATTTAATTTCCTGGCATTGATATACTATATGCACATCTACAATTAATTGCAATTTTCCCATTTTTCAATAAAAATTTTGTCCTGCTATGATGTGATCACAACAAAAAAAGAAAGAAATTTTAAGAAATACTTTCAGTAGCATATTTCAACAGATGCTGTGATTTAAAGCAGAACATTTTAAAAGCTATACAAAAACTGGAAGTTTGAATATCTGAATTTGAAATTTTGTATCATCAAAGAGAATCAACTACTCCAAAAGTTTAAATTCAATCTAAATTATATTAATTTTACTTCCATGGCACTCAATGTAATATAAAGCAGGGGTTTATTATGTAACATAATTTCTACAGTAATATTTTTCTAAAACTTGAGAAAGTAAGTAACAAGGAAATCATCTTTCTTATTCAAAGGAAATCCATAATTTAAAATAATAATAATAATAATAATTCCCCTCTTCTTCGCCCCCACAAAACATCATATTCTAACTAGAATAAATAAGTGGTTTGGACAAAGCACTCAAGAGCTATCTGCCTAGAATTAAGAAGTTAGGATATCTATTTTAGAAAATTAATATTACCACATATCTTAGCAAATACCTTTTTTGTAAGAAATTTTAATGAAAAATACTTCAAATAAAAGTAATCATCCCAAAACAAGAAAAATTCAACAATATTCAAATGAACTGTTAACACACAAAAAAATTAATGAAAAAATAAGAAAAAATTAAAATTTCGCACAATATTCTCCAGCATGGGGTTTTTGAAACAATTTAATCCCATATTTGTTTTGTCTAAGGTTTCAGTTAAAGGAGGAACTGTCATTTATTTAAAGGAAGAAGCAGCAGCTTCTGAACCTTTATCAGCCAATATACACTAAACGTTCCTTCAGCAGAGTATAACGTGCAAAATCAGTAGTAACATAAGTTTTTAGCAATTTTATAGAGTATAGAAAACCAAACATACAAATAAACACTGCAAAGAGTAATGCATATTTCTGCAGCAGTATAAAACAATAAGGAATAACTAGCTTAACAATCAGCACTAATTAAAAAAACAAAACATTTATGCTTTATACCCCCACAAAAAAAATTATGTTATATACCCACCATAATGCTTTTTCTCAGTTACTACAGTTAAAAATCCGATCAAAAGCTTGATTTCAAAACTTAAACACACATGATATAGCTACTAATGAAAAGACAAGCACATCTGATTTTAAGTAAACATGAAGCATAATGAAAATGGCATATTAATATGACTATTGCTTAATCAAAGTATTAATTTTTGCATAAAATAACCAATTATGAGCTGTCTATATTAAAAGTACTGTTATCCAATTTTTATCCTCCTAAAAATTTTGGCTTGTGTTTCTCATAACTATTTTGCTGTTCTTTCATGTTTATAAAAATTTATATAAACACATTATCCAATGCATTTGGGAAAAACTTACAGTTGGAAAAAGATTGAAATCAATAAAGTACTACATGAAAATTAAATTTGATTAAAAGTAAGCAAATTTAATTTCTGTTATCATGAATGAGAAACACTGCATAGTAACTACTCTTGTACTTTATGCAAAATTCTAAAATGCAATTTTTTCATATTACCAGACAGTGAAGGATCAAATATTACATTTAGCTTTGCAAAAAGAGAATTATGCTTACTTATCATTATACATAACATATCTGCATTGAAACACACTAACATGCCGAATAAATAGTAATTCAGAAGTCAAACAACAAAAATCAGCGTTAATTTTTCAAAATTTTTGCAGGACTAGTTTCGATGGTTTTACCGAACCATCATCCTCAGCTGCAAAACCGCAAATGAACAAGATAGGGAAATAATGATTAGATAAGATAAGAAAGCCAGGACAAGAATAAGCAAGTGGCGCCATCTGTTGGTGAAACCAGAACTAAAACATAATTACTTTAAAGGCCAAAAGCAAAGATGGATTGGAATTAGGATCGTTAACAAGAACAGAAAGATTTTTTTGAATGTGAAATGCCTCTAGAAAATCCAGTTCTCCAATGGAAGATGTTTTTTGAATAATTTTGGCAGTTTTTCTCATAAAAATTTTCTCATTTGGCATAACTGCCAAAATTATTCAAAAAACATCTTCCATTGGAGAACTGGATTTTCTAGAGGCATTTCACATTCAAAAAAATCTTTCTGTTCTTGTTAACGATCCTAATTCCAATCCATCTTTGCTTTTGGCCTTTAAAGTAATTATGTTTTAGTTCTGGTTTCACCAACAGATGGCGCCACTTGCTTATTCTTGTCCTGGCTTTCTTATCTTATCTAATCATTATTTCCTATCTTGTTCATTTGCGGTTTTGCAGCTGAGGATGATGGTTCGGTAAAACCATCGAAACTAGTCCTTGTGAAAATTTTGAAAATTAACGCTGATTTTTGTTGTTTGACTTCTGAATTAATATCTGCATTGCTTATCATTTAGATTCAAGTAATATAGTTGTAATATTTGTACATTCCAAACTAAAATTTCAAATAATAAACCCAAAATGTACAATCTTGCATTGTACCTTATTTAAAATGCTTTCAAAATCTTTATTCTGAGAAGTTGCTCCACACTTGTCAGGTAACAAATCCATTAATTGAGAATGTGTTCTGTCACTCATACACAGCAATGACACCATCTCCTGACGAGTCACTTCCTCTTCTGTTTGTCCTTTAAATTAATTCATATCATTAGTTAAGAAATAACAACAGCAAATAAAAGCAATTTTTATAAAATATCCTAGCACAAATGTTTTTAATCCTGCTTTATCTTCAAGTTATAGAATATTTCTTAAAAAGCCCTCACTACACAGCTTAAAATTTATAATAACTATTATATGGTCATTTAGCCCACAGTAATATGCCATATTAAAAACTTTAAAAAACTAAAGAAAATATTTATACGTATAGTTCTTACCTAAAAGTACAAATTTTTAAATAAATAAATATGATTTGACCGTGACTAATGAAATGAAATGAAAAGAAAATTCAATGTTCCTCCTTATCAGTACAGAATTAAAAGTACTGTTTAATTGACTCGATTCAAAATTTCAAGTTTCTTAAAAAAGGTTTCCTTCAGATTTTAGAAGGATATGATGGTAGAATTTGATGGCATGATGAGATTTCATTTCTCTTGAAATATATTTCATTTCAAAAATATTTTCAGCTTCTATAGTTTTGAGCTATTAAATAAAAGAAAAGTGAAAGGTGTGTGTTTTTCTTGTTAGATTACTTTTTTTGGCAGTCTGTAATTATTTTATTTCTCATTAATGTGCACCATTTTGATCACACGATGCATGAGAAATTTATTTTTTCCTATCTCTGAAATTTATGTTACTTGTTGTGGCTACTTATGCCAGTATGATGTAAGTTTCCACAAAGGAATGAATATCTGTAATAGAACTCTAGCATCAATAAAGGGGACTGCCTGTTATTTGTGTGAAAAGAGTACTGAGAGAAAGAATACACATCCAAATACTTCACATGCAGTCAAAGTGAGGTCAGAAAAAAGGCTTATAGAAAGAATGCATATGTTACCTTAATCCAGCATTATAATCCAATATACCTGATATTAATATAATTACCCTTAATTTCACTGAAAATACATTTAAAAATTAGATCCATAAAATAGTCAAGGATAGATGTATTTTTTATTTTATTGCAAAAGTAATTAATTATGTGTTATTTTGAATTATTGCATGCTATTATTCGCAACCACTAAACATAAAACACATATATATACATGGTAGACATGTTTGGAGCTTAATGAATATGATAAAATAAAGTCAAAACTAACAGTGCAAAAGTAACGGGCATATAATATGCATATGTGTCATGTAACCAATGCACTGACTGTTGTCATGGAAACAAGTAATCTACACATGCAAATGTAAGCTTAATTAGGATAAAATGCTTCTAATAAAACTAGAAAAAGATTTTTAATGAGTATTTTAGAATAATGAATACTTTTTTCAATCAACAAGAATCAGGCATTCAAAACGATGAAGTTCATTAAAAGTTTTAAATTAGCTGTGTCAGCAATTCCAATACTATCATCAAGTACTGAAATTGTTATTATTAAAATTAAAAAAAACCTTATTAAAACTTATTGAAAATATTAAAAACTCCATCATACTCTAAAATTAATAATTAAATTAATTTTATTAATTAAAAACTCCATCATATAGCTGGCATCAAGGGTCTAATTATTGAGGCATGAATTAAGAATGACTCAAGTTATTAGTTACTAAAAAGAGCCTCTAGAAATATCTTTAAAAAGTGAGTTTTGAACACCAAATTTGAGACAAATGTTTAGAAAATAAAATTTTTAATGGTGGTTTTCCATGTAAGATGCAGACTGGAAAGCATCTGAAAATGGTGGCTTAATGTTAACAATGATATATGATAATCCAATGTTTTTTGTATAAAGCTCATCCAGAAAATACCATTTGGGTAATAAAAAAGTTTCACTCTGGAAATATGCTTAATTAAAAACAGAGGAGCTTTTGCAAACAATCCATCTGCTTCACCTGCTGTAGCTGAAATCCCCAGCTCTAGCTAAGCAACAACCTAAAATATATTATTTCATTTTTAACATTAAGAAACCAATTTTTGACAATATTTATTTTGGTAATTTAATGTACTTCTTAAATCTGAAATGCATGGAAAGAACGATTATATGAATATTATATGCATTAATATGCATTCAGAAAATGAAATAAATATGAAGAATAAATGACATACCAATATTCGTATGAGTAGATAATAAGGTACAGAGGAAGGAAAGAGCACCCTCAAGCATGGGCAAAACCTTATCAGATTCTAAGAAAGAATTATTCCTGCTAGGATGGAAAGTAAACCACTCCAACACATGAAACCTAATTCAAAAGAAAAAAAGTTTGTTTCCACATAATATAAAAAATTTAAAAATTTTATAATTCACATTTCTTAGTCTTGTAAGGAAAATGCATAATACCATTCATTATTTATTTTAAACTTATTTGTAAAAAATAAATAAAAAAGCAGCAAATCAGCAGTAAATGGGAGTTTTCTTACAGAATTACATTTTAACATGCAAGGTACAAAACAAAAGGCACGAATAATGCATATTTTGACATTCAAGAATTAAATTTACTAAAATTAAATTTTTGCTTTGAAAATTAAATTAGATGATAAAAACAAGAAAAATATTACAAGATCTTATTGGCCTATTAATAGAGTTGAATTCCTTTAAATATGTATTACGTAGCCCTAACTATAAAGATGAAATTTTAACTCGTTGATGAACAAACTGGCATTTTAAATAATTGAATCCGACTAATAAATAGTATTAATTTTATTAAGCTGTTAAATTACACATGCAGTTTATTCTTCCTCCTTATGCACAACTTTTCTGCTCTAATGACTTATGCATTTTGATACATCTATTATTTAAAATTAATCAGGAGTTACATTTTACTTTATTTTATTTTATTATTAATCACACTTTCTTAAGAATCCTAACTTTACTACTAGTCCTCTAGCTAATCAAAATCTCTCTTCATGTGTACATTGAAAATACATTTCACAAGGTTTTGAAACTGGGGGGGGGGGGGAATGGGTAAAGTATTAAGGCTATGAGTATGAATGAAATTCCATGCAAATGATAATACCTCCCAAAATATAAAACGAGAAGGATAATACTTGCACAATTACTAAAAAACAAGATTGTATAAACATAAAATAACACTTAGCCATACTTAGATTCTATATACATCAAAAACTGTTTCTTAATGCACTACAAAGCATTATTAGCCACTACCCATTGTTAGAATACCAACAAAATGTTTGCACTTTTGGCAATAGGATATATATTTTCAACATCAATAGATTAATGATACAAGTTCTTGGATTTCCAGTGGGAGTTTCTGGTGACAAATACATTCAAAATTGCATTACATTATTATTATTATTATTATTCACAGTTTGTCTCTGTCTCCATATGAACCTTTTTAAATAAGAAAATAAATTGCCTGTACTTATGCTACAACTTTTGTAATTAAATAAATAAAAGCTTTTGCAGACAATATATTCCTATCATATATCTTGCATCATGAACAGTTTCACTCTATAAGAATTGGAATGCTTGCGATTTTCTTGCAAAATACTGTTACGCCTGTAAATAACTGATTATGTTCCTTCTTCCTTTCTCAACAACTCAGTAAAAGCATGTGACAATATACTTTATATATATAAAAAAAAAAAATTTAAAGATGGGGGCAATCTTGAGAGATAACTGAGAGTTCACAGAAGATTTTTGTGCTGCACAGCTATGGTATTTTTAAAAAAATTCAGACTTACTTAAATTCACTTCACAATACATCATTTAGGTTATCCAACTATTTATCACATGAATCTGATGTAAAATATATTACTATTTAATTAAATGTTTCTAGCCAGTTGTATTTTGTAATTTTTTTAATTTTTATTCTGAGCAAAATCCCGAGTAGAGATGGAAAGCTTTTATATGAAGTACTTTTAAGTATGATGAATATAAAATTAATTCACATATACACTTATTAATGTATAATTTATTGACATAAAACAAGCCTACAATCCTAATTTTAGGCACCTGCTAGCCATAATCAAAATATTGCTGTGACACAAAAATTTTATTCTCATCCTGATGAAAAAAAAACACTTAAAAAAGGCACAATAACATATCATGTACAAGGTAATCAAGTCATCACTTTCTCTTTATCCCATTTTTGCGGTTTTATTTATGCAGCATATTAACATCAGGTTGTTTGCTTTAAGACAAGCCCTGTTCGCTGCTCACACAACTGCTTATGTGCATAGATGATGAATCATTCATTCGAGCCATCAGTTTAATTAAAATAAGCAGATGCGTTTGCAGTTGCAGACACCAAACTGGACCGTTTCTAACACTTTTTAAAATGACAGCTTTAATTATTTTGTATATTTTGTGGGGATGTCAACATGAGTGTCATGTTAGGGCAACTGAAGATATAGAAAAACCTAATACTTAAACAACGAATGGGAGGAGCAGCTGTTATTTATAAACACTGGCAAAAAAGAAGTTTGTTTATTATGCAGTGCTTCAGTAGCAATACCAAAACAATCAAATGTTAAATGTCATGTTAAATATCATAAAAACCATTCATAAGGATTTCAATGATAAATATAATTTAAATAAATAAATTTGCAACAAGAATGATAGTTTGAAGAGGGAAGGCTAGTGGAATCATTTTGATAAGGATGAAAAATTTTGTTAAAAGCTTTTTCCACATCAATGAAAAAAACAAGGCCATGCAAAGAAAATGCCATATTCAGGAATGCAAGAACCACATTCAGGTCTGCTTACATAAAGTTCAGGCATTGAAATCTTCTCTAAAAGTTCAACAAAGCAGTCTTTTTACAATCAAAAATGAAGCAAAGAATCACACAGAAGCATCCTCTAAAGTAAGTTACATTCTTGAATCACGTAAAAAGGAAAGAAGCTACACTGGCAATGTCAGAGTCTTTATTAAACAAATTTAAAAACAAAAAGAAAGAAAGAAAAAAAATCTGAAAGGTTTCAGATTTCAAATTACATTCAAAGGGGTGTTTTTTTAATATTTTATGTGCTACCTTTATTTATTAAATATCATGTTCTTCATACTTAAACCATAAAATTCCATTTAAATTGAGCATATCTTTATAATTTCCAATACACAGTCTCACGCACTGGAGATAGAAATGTTTTTTCTGTACAACATTGCCATTGCTTGCTTTGAAATCCCTTGAGTTTGTTAATAAAAAATTCATTGAAAGTTTTACAAAATATGAAAACAAAAGTAAAACAAATTCCAAATTTTGAATTTGGGCTTCCATATGCCCATATTTGTAGTAGGATTGTGTAATTCAAAATTTGATAGCTCCAGGTACCATTGTTTTATCACAATGCGAGAAATATACATACATTTATGTAGATTCTTTATTATTTAATTTCTTCAAATATAATACACGGCAATAATATTTGGTGGCAATAGTTTGAAAAGTGAAACGAATATTCAAAGAGATTCGACGCAAAATCCCAAAACAAAAACATTCCAGAGCATGTGAATAGCAGCATGGTGCTAGCATATCATGTATTAGAATATAAGCAAATTTAACAAGCTGTCAGAGAATATTAATAACCAAATATTCCATTAATAGCAAGTTGATGACTTAATGCAGTATTGATTTAATCAGATATTTGTAAATTTAACAATTACATTTCTTGTATTAATAATTAGCTTATTAGTACGTACTTACAATATATACATACACATAACATGCAACATAAACACAAATTTTAACATACAACATAAAAATACACATGTAAAGAAAAATAAAAAAAATTAATATCAAGTACAATACATTGCAGCTTTGTCATGGCTGCATTGTTATTCTATATTGTACACTTTTTAGTTCATAATTTAAATTTTTAAACAGTTTTTAAAATGTTCATAAGTTCATTAGTTAATCATTTTCAGCTAATATAAGTATTGTCACTGCCAAGAAAGTTCAAAAGATTATGGTGGAAAAAATAAAATCTGTTATGAAATGATAGCTTAGCAAATATTTTAATTTAGTTCGTCTGACATAATGAATGAACTGATGAATGCTGACAGAGATCAGAATAAAGAGTGGTATTTTGGGCAATATTTTGGCTAACATATAAATATCCTAAACAGAAAACTTCCATGGTGAATAATGAATTATTACCTTTGCATGACAGTTTTAAGAAACCAGTCTGGATCTAGCTTCATGGCACATAATTGTAAAAGGAAAAGATCAGCATCAACTATTGAATTGCAAAAATGGCACTGTATGTATGTCATTGCCTGACCTTTGATCTGAAGACCACTGCGAACCCACATATTGCACAAAATTTCATTAAATACAACCTGAAAGAAATTACCAATTCCATTAGTGATACCATTAATATTAAATATTGCGGAGAAATCAGTTGGAAATACTGATAACATATACAAAAGGAATACATTTCATGTGGGTCTGCCAGAAGTAAAATTAAATTATTTGATAAACACAAATTATTTTCTTGAAAAATTAATTAATCTTGATTAATAAATTAAAAGAAAGAATTAAAAGAAAATTTTAATCTTTCAAATTATAAGGAAGAAAATTTTAATCTTTCAATTAAAAGAAAATTTTAATCTTTCAAATAGAATCCACTTAGCAAACAGCAATCATTGATTTTAAATGTTTTAAGAAATACGACAGCACTATTTTCAATATACCTGTGCTTGTAATGGATGCATCATCATTAATTTAAGAACGTCTTCACAAGGAAGAAGACTATCTAATGATCCATCTTGTTGACGAACAGCTTGGCCTAAAAAGGATGCGAAACAGCGATGAAGTGGTAGATGGAAAGAGACTTGATACGCATTTATCTAGAATTAAGAAAAATAATTAATTAAAATGAATGTACCAATAAAATTAGAAGATTACATAAGAGAAAAAATTAATAGATTTTTAATGCCTACTATAAAACTAAAGCTATAAAAATTACTAATAATAATCTGAGTACATACAAGAAGCAATGAACAAACTGGGCATATAATCTCACCATAATGGTTTTATTTTTTATTCCCCCATTTAAATTTTAAAAAATCAATACAACCCCATTAGTTTCATGCCAGTGTTCCTTTCCTACACTGAATCTAACTGATGTAAATTATATGTAGTATTATGAATCTAACTGATGTAAATTAAAGCATTATAAGCTGTTATTCAGAATCAAAGGATAAACATCAACATTGAAAAACACACACAAATTTTGATAAAATGTAAAGGTATGATTTTGAAAACGGTCAAATGCTAATTTTATTTAAAATATTGTTGCGTTTGGCACGGGTTTGTGGATTTGGATTGATTAATAACAACACTTGATGAAGAATGAAAACACAATTTATTAACCAGTATTACTAGGAATGGCTCCCAAAACATGTTTACAGTCGTCGAGAAACTATGACAAACACACTGTAACAACATCATTTATATGAAAATTTGATGTGGCAAGTCATCAACAGACCTGATCACTTTCCACAGGTTAAACACAATTAGACATTTCCAAAGAACTGAACACTTTCTAATGCATATCTTAAGAGTACTAAAGTATAACTTAGAGCATAGAAACGTTTAGTTGTCTTGCAAATCAAGATCATCTGAAGGTAACTATAATAACTGTAGACCATTATTTGTTATTGCTCATGCAAAGGAAACATTTTGCAACTGTTAGACAACTAGCCTGAGACTTCATAGCAGCCAGTAATACTCAAATAACTCCTAAAAAAAAACTAACTTTAAAAAACATTAAACATTAGCCACAAAACTTCTATATATGTATCTTCTATTCTATATATGTCAAGGGTTCCCAACCTTTTTGTCCCAAAGAGCACACTCTAGAATATCTGTTGGACAGCAGGCACCATTTACTTTTTCAAGGTGAATTTATAGGTGGACAGAGTTATTAATAATACATGCACATAAAACAGAGATCGGCCACCTTTCACTTTGTGCTGGTATCTAAGTTGGAAGCTATTTCTATTTCATTAAAAATGAGAAAACTTTCATGTAGAATTTTATTGAAAACTAAAACACTTTTATTTAGATAGCTCAGGGGTGGGCAAGATTGGTAACCGCCATGGTGCAAGCGGGCATAGGGGTGAGAACCCCTGATCTATGTATTTACAATAATTTTAGAACATAATTTCAGAATCATATGTCATATATATATGGAACTAAGTGTAGCGTTTCTCATGACTCTTCCATGACCAAATAAACAATTATCATAAAAAGCCCCTCAATGAACATCTGCATGCTTCAGGCTGATTAAAGATGAAAGTACAACCAGAATCACTCTAAACTACACTTAGACTCATCTATGAACAGTACTCAAGCTAACTCATTACCTTGGCCTCATTGATAATAAATACCATTTTAAACAATCTCTTCTGAAAGATTCAGTAAGTGCAAGCCAATGCAGTGGTCTTTTCCCATAAGGTCTGCGCTTGTGAAGGCTTCAATACACAGCAGTGCTGCTTATTTGAGTACAGTAGATGCTCAAAATTCCCAAGCCAATTATCTAGTAGCTGTACAACAATTGCCAGCAATGATAACTAATAGTCCTCAAATGCTGAGACCCTCAGACCTCAACAATTATTGCTCCCATGCTTAAAAAAAAGTTTTGAGAAACTTTTAAAGAGAACTCCACGTCTTGGAGAATGTTTTACCCATACTCATTCTATGAGTCTACTGACCATTTTCCACTTCTGGGTTCCACTTTTGTATCTTTCAGATATTATTACCACCACCATTTTCCAAGCCTACAACTTTCCACTTAACCAAGATATTTGTATGACTCAAACATGTTTCCTTCTATGGTTTGTTAATACTTACATATTCTGAGCACATAAATCATTGCGACAGTTAAGTTCTTTTATTCAATAATTACATAATTACTCTAGGATCCACAACACAATTATCTTTTAATTCTGGCAAAAAATCAAAAAGAATATTTTTTATTTAATTTATATATTTAAATAAGCAAAATTTAAGAAAGCATAGAATTTATAATAAATATTGAGTTTCAGAAATTTAAGAAAGCAATAGATAAATTTCTTTAAAAAAGCAATAATAAATTTTAGAATAAAAATTTTATTTTAAGAAATAAATTTTAATTTAATAAAGCAATAGAATAAATAAATTTAAGAAAGCAATAGAATAATCAGTGTTTTTAAAAAAGACATATAATACAATAGTTTGAGCACTATCTGCTTCTGCACTTACAAATAGTTGCACTACCAATTTTAATTCCTTCCTTCTGCACGTGTTTCTTTTATCTGTCTTACTTTCAAAATCTCTGTCTTAGTTACTTAAATAATGAAGTCTGTCACTATGGTAGCAATTTTTTCAGGCAGTTATATTTCTTAACCAGATGCCAAAAATTATATAGATACAGTACTAATTTTAGAATAGATGGCTACTGATTTTACTCATCTGTAGGATATGAATGAACACCTTTTTAAACAACTACATTGGCAGCATTATTTTTAATTATATCATAGTCAAAAATCAAACACACATCTTATTATGTTGATCAATATTACAGATAATTACATAGATCACAACACATCACACATACACACACACAGCTATTTTGAAATATAATAACATAAAAGTTTTATAGTGTAAAAGGGCTATTAATTTTAGTTTTACTTCCCCCTTTTAACAATTATTGCTTCCCTGCTGTATCTGAGCTTTGCAGCGTATAAGACGTTATGTTAATCCTTCCATTTCTGAATACAGATGCCATTCAAAAATAAAGATTTTCTTCCGACCTAAATAAAAATAAAGATTTTCCTTTAAAAATAACAATAGTCACTTCTTAATGATTTACTTCCTTATTTAGAGACCCTCTATAGTAACTATTTTGCTCCAAAATCTTCATAAACTGGAACTGGCTATAAGAACTGGAATAACCTCCCTGTAGAAAGTGTGCATAACTCTGATGAGTTTATCAAATTTTCTTCTAGGAAGTGCTACACAGTTTTTTCTGTACGTCTTTTTCCTGATATGCCTCCGCAAATTTTAAGTTTTATGATGGTTAGGTATGATTCTGTTGACATATATAATTTTTATATTACATTTAGATCACTTACATTTGAACTATTGCTCAAATGACAATCAGACTTAATACATAACAGATTCATCAAAACATGATCATCTCCCTGGGTAGTACATTTATTTTTCCCAGCTGATTACAAAATAAATTTTTGACAACTGACTTTGATTATTTTTAAAGCTACTGAAATGCAAACATTGAAGAATCAGGAAAAAGTGCAAATGCATGACATGTAATTAAGTTAGTTGAAAAAGTAATGTCTTTCAAATAATCATTAAATCTGTTGATTTAAATCGGCTATGTGGAAGAAAAACGTAACAATGCAAGAGGTAAAATTAAGAAAAAGAGAAGGGAACCTAAACTTGGCACAGATTTTATGAACAGTTCTACTAATTTAGAGAACAGATACAGGATATCTTTTTTATGAGCAATTTTATTTCTACATTCCATAAAAACCAATAAATCTTCTATACAAAAAGATAAATAAATAAAATACAATGAGCTAATGAATATAATAGGTTACTTATCTTCTGTAGTAGCATTGCCGGCAGAGTGGTTTTGGCATGTTTCTGCATTGGCAAGAAACAAAGACTACCAATCTGCACAAGTATGAGAAATAAAACAGTTAATGATCTAATTATTTTTTCATAATTCCCTGTGCCAATATAGTGAGTTTCACTGTAAAATACTCATTATGGCAACTATTTTCAATTTTCCATTAATGGAAAAAGATGCTACAATTGATGTTAGAGGCAACTGCTGCACTATGATTACCAGATTGTCTGTAAAAAAATGAGTCTTCCAGTATGTTTTATATATATTTTTTATTTTTATAAATTACTAACAAAATTGTATTAAACAAAATAACAAATAGATTTTTTCAGCATATATTTATATATGTTGTTCTTTTTTAAAAAAATTGCTTATACATGTTAAATAAGTTCTATTGAATTGTGTTATTTTAGATAAATTTTGATCAAACTGTAAATATTACAATAAACACAATTCATATTAAATTCCTTCTATATGTACGTATTAAATAATCTATGTTACAAAAATATTAAATCAAATGCTGATTTATCATTTACTGTAGTAAGTTTCATTTTTCTGAATGTTCACAACATTTTGCAACAAATTACACTTTCTGGAGTCTGAATAGGGATAACATAATTTTCTCTCACCAAAACCACTACAAAAGGCAAGTACCAAATAATGTTTATTTCCAACTGCTAATATGTTGAAGGTGAAAAAAATAAATTTAGAGAGTGAGAAAAGGATTTAGAAGGAAAAAAAAGAGAGAGGGAGAAAATACCACTTTATAAATGTACTAAGTTTGCTCACTGATATTCATGATTTTAGTTGATTATGGCAAAGCACGCTAGGGCTATCTGCCTAAGGGAAGAGATGTCTTCATGAAAGACTTTCTAAGGTAAACTTGCTCGTATACATGTTACACATGGGGAAAAACCACGCAAACACGGATGGAGCCAAGCCTTTCGCCTCAAATCGAATCTAGGTCAGAAATGCCAGTGTACAGTGATTTTATCATTCAACCACTGGTGGGTCATTGAAATTCATGAATTATTGACATTTTTAAATCTTTTTAATCAGTTTTCAACTAAAGCCTTTTTTCTTACTTAAAAAATCTGATCTGTACACCACGACTTCCTTGTACGGAATATTAAATTATACGCATTTTTTCTTGCATTTCGTTTAAACTTATTGGATTGAATTAAATCTACTTCGCCGACAGCGCATAAACCACAATAGAATAAATGCATTCTTTAAAATGCACTCTAGTATTTGTTTACCATAGCAACACTCTGACGCTAGATTCACTTAACAGCATTATATTTCGTTCATATTATAACTCATAATGCACAAAATTTATATCATTTAAAGAATAGAAGTATCTAATCATTGCTACATGTTCTATTCGAATACTATAATAAAGCTAGAATGATGTATAAAAGAAATTAAGCAAACAAAACAAAAAAGAAACAGTTTTTCACAGACGATTGAGTATTTCTCATTCAATTAATTCCGTTCTCACTTCATAAGAACGCAAAAATACATAAAAACTCAAAATATCTATATTAAAATTTACGAAGTAAATCCTAAACACTTATTTCCTCGAAAAAAAATCCAGAAAGGATTAAGCATGATTTAATTGGCAATAATAAATGAAGGCGTTATCTTTGTTGTTGCGAAGCTAAGTTTCTCTAGATTGGCAACAAATCCACTAGTCTGTTGTTTCAAATGTAAACAATCAATGGCCGCCATAAAAAAAAAGGCTTAGCGGCACTTAAACAACTTGTTGATAATTGTTGATAATTCTAAAAATAAAATTGTTGATAATTCTAAAAATATTGCACACAGATTTACTAAAGGCATAAAAACCTTAACCGGAAGATAAAAACAACATAATTCAATCATTTTTAAAGCAAAAAATGTACAATTTACAAACATGTACGAGTAAAGAAACTGAGATCACTAAGCCGGGTAACAGAGTAGATATATATATAAATATATTTATATATGTTTGGTGCGGCCGATTCCAACCAAAATACGAGGTGCACATCTACATGTTATAGCAGTCCTATATACAAAATTTCAACGTTCTGAGGCTACTCGTTTTTTAGTTATGCGAGATACGTACGTACGTTCCTATAGACGCCATGAAAAATTCTCTTCAGAATTAATTTTAAAGCAGTTTTATAATTTTTTTGGAGGAAACAAGTCTTTTATTCTGTCCTTACATACGTGGATTCCAAATCGTTACACTTTAACAATCGTTTTGTAACAATTAGAATAGTTACAAAACACCGCAGTTGCTTTCAGTAGCAGGAGCGGTTATAAGAGTTTGTTGTTGTTGTCCTTACGTACAGATATCATGCAAAAACATCGTTAAATTGCATTCAATAGCGGTCAAAATGTATATTTTCGTTGAAATATGCTGCCTGAAACTTTTCACGATTACAATACTTCCTTTTTACTTCGTACACGGAAGTAAAAAATGGATTTTAATTATTATTTATAAACAAATACTTTAAGGAATTATCAAGAGAATAATATTCAACTATTACAAATATAAACAGAGATTCATAAAATGAATAAATCTTTAAAAAACTTACTTCATCACTCAAGGAAAAATCAATAGCTGCGAACCATTCTTGCAACACTTGCAGACATATACGTAAAACATTTTTTGTTTTTTCCAAAGTTTCCTACAAAAAAAAGAAACTTATGAACTGCATCTTCTTATATTATGAACTATAATCCAATTAAATAATACCAAATAAAAGAAAAACTCGTTCATTAAATTTTTATGTTAATTTTAACAAGATATAAGTCTAGATTGAATACTAATTAAAATAATAGTATGTAAGGTAATTATGGTAAATCTGTCAGAAATTATTAAAGCTTCGATGCACTTAAATGACTGATATAATTTACACTTCAAACATCAAAATAAAATCATTAATGCATATGTTTTATATATATGTAAACAAAATCTATATTACATCTTAATGAAAAATTCAGTTGGATTTTACTCATATTAAAAATTTTTACTTGCAACAGTCTTTCGATTTTCGAGAAAGTTAGAGGAGGATTATTTTGATAGTATGGGCGTGATCATAAAATTCTTGAATCCTACACTGAAATTTTTATTCTGGCACAGCATGTTATAAATATACTGTAATTTTAATTGTAAGTTATCTGTCATCAACTCTGAACAAGCAAAGTCAATATGAAGAAGATACTGATAATAATAACAAATTTTACAAACATCGAATTATTTTATATGGTGACTCCAATTTTTCCATATGCCAGAGCACAAGTAGTTTGATTCTCTATAACAGTTTAAAAATTTAACTGTTAAAAATTCTAATCATGTTCCCCCCCCAAAAAAAAAAACTTCAGGAAGAAGAGGAACTGACGGAGGGAACATACAAAAACTTAACATAAAAAGAGATATAGGTGTAATAAAAATTCAGTAGTAGAGCAAGCTAATTTCTGAAGAGACTAGCAATAACAATATATATTTTTGTAAATACTAGACTAGAAGGAGCAACAATGAAATCAAAATATAAGCAGTATGGATGAAAGCAAACGGATAAAGAAACTATTCCAGATTACTAACATGATTATCTATACGATATCAAACAACTCCTGCTCATTTTGAGGATCAGATATACGCTAAAAAGTTGAATTAATTCAAGTAAAACAAAAATATATTTACTGAGAAAATTCTTACCGGACTCTTTAGATGGGAAATTAAAGCCCACATAGGTGTTGCAGATGCTTCTAGTTCTGCTGAGAATGCAGCATAATAAGTGTTAGATTCAAATTCAACATGGGCTTTTAGTTCCCTCTGGTTTACATTCATTCCTGTGAGAAATATTTTTCATATCAACCACATTTTACATAAATTTTTCAATATGTATAAAATAAAAAATGGAAGTTGAAACAAGGAAATTTAATACATATACAATATATATATATCACATTATGTAGCAAATTACAGAGTAATAAATTAAAACAGTAAATACCAAGAGACATAAAATACTTAATACAGACTACAGAAATAAATAAAATCACAAAAGCTGTTTAATTGTATATCAAACTTAACTTGAATAATTTTAGTGAATATTGCCTAATTTTTCCCCTGTACATATTTTCAAGTATCATTCACAGATGCACTCAATACAATACATAGAATAATAATAAAAAGTGTCCGACAATTATGTTCAAACAAAATTTCAACTGAGAACAAAAATGACAATTAGAAGCAACTGACAGAAGACAGATATTTAGAGAGCAGTAGATAATCAGGAAATACCCCACTACTGACATAGTTTAAAAATTCAAAAAATGCTATATCCTTTTACAGTAGCTCATCTATAGCTAAATAAAACTCATTCATGATGATGAAACTCAAACTAAAACATTACAATTCATCAGTCAGCAAAATAGCAAAAATTATGTTAATATTGTGCTTATTAAGTGTGATACACTTTGCTGTTGAAGATAACATTTTTCCTAAAATTGATTACCAATTGTAATTGAATTGCATCATGCATTCTCTACAGAAGATCCAATTATGGTTGTCAATAACAAAAAAGACTTGCATTAGCATGCATGAAGATTTTAATACTAGAAACTTCAGAACAATATAAACAAAAGAAAAATTCAATGGAACTAATTTAAGAAACAATGAATAAGAACTACTCTTATATGCGACCTCAAATCGCCAAATTTCTTCCACGCTGCCATATTACTATCTAAATGTTTTGTTTACATTTCGAACTTTAAGCCTAAATATCTCCAAAAACGCGTATTTCACACATGCAAAAACCACGTTTTGAACACACAATTTAGCTAAAAATCCGAAACAAAAACAAAAAATTTAGATAGCAAAAACGTAAAGTTTCTAACCAAAAATATTTGACAAGAATCCATGTACACAGCAATATGTTTTAGCTTAAAAAAAAAAATCTACGAATGGCACAATCTAGGCAACGAAAGAATCTACGAACTATGCACACCTCACTTTAATAAATTAACATAACAATAAATTTCAAAGAATACCATGTACACAGCATCCTGTTTAAACTTTAAAAAAATCTACAAATTGCACAATCTAGGCATTGTGCACAAATCAACAAAAAACTAAATAACTAAAATTACAAACAATTCAAAAACAACAATAAGAACAGAAATTCATAATAAAAAAACAATGAATAAGAATTTATAAGATATTTATGCATATCTTCCTTTAAAAAAAAAAATCTGAAAGGTTTCAGATTTTAAATTACGCCCAAAAGGGTGTTTTTTTAACATTTTTTGTGTTACCTATATTTATTATTAAATATCATGTTCTTTGCACTTAAACCATAAAATTCAGTTCAATAGCGATGTCACAAAATAATTTAAAAAGCATACTTAGAATTTCCGATACACAGTTCTGCGTCTGAAATAAAAAGGTCCCCCCCCCCCATAACAGTGTTGCCATTTTCGCTTTAAATCATTGAGTTCGTAACTCAAAATTCGTTAAAAGTTACAAAATAAAATCGATAATAAACAAATTCCAAATTTTGAATTTGGTCTTCCACATGCCCATATTCGTAGGAAGATTACTCATTCAATTCGATGGCTCTATGCCCGTGTTTTATCACACAGAAATAGACATACATTTATGTAGATTTTTCATATTTAATTTCTCAAATATAATGCAGGACTCTAACGTTCGATTGCAACCGTTTAAAAAGTGATTTGTCATTTACAGTGATTCAACACAAAATCACAAAAGGAAAACAATAGTCCTTCAGGGACAAAGCCCCTTTGGACTAAAAAAAAAAAACGTTGTCAGGTTTAACGTCGCTGAACTTTCATGATGGTAAAACTCAGACCGGTTGTCCTTTTTTATATGTACTTTTAAACTTAACATAGACTTTCTAGGTTAATTAAGAAGTAACTTTACAGCATTATAACAAAAGAGGAAAGATATCAGCTTCCCTGATGCATGATGCATCTTACTTGCTCGGCGTAAAAAGCCATCTTCCTGTTAAAAGCCATCATCATGATGTGTGTCGATTCTCGTTTTGAATTATTTCACACACAGCAGAATTATTAAATTGGAATTTAATTACCTACAGAGAATTATTGCTTAATTTTCTTTTATATTCGTATTTGTAATTTTGCTTTTACGTGTATAGTATTTCTTTTCATGCTTATAGTTACAATTTTAGTATTTCGCATGTTTCATTTATTTCTATTAATGTGCTATTCTTTATATTAACACGTTGAGTGCCACATCAGCCATCTGTGGCTGACATTGAATTTTCCGTTTAGGCCGCATCAGCCATCTGTGGCTGACACTAGATTTTCCGTTTAGGCCGCATCAGCCATCTGTGGCTGACACTAGATTTTCCGTTTAGGCTGCGTCAGTCAGACACTATCCGTTGGATGCACTAACTTTTCCGTTTAGGTGGTCAGCCATTAGTGGCTGACACTAGACCTTTCGTTTAGGCCACGTCGACCACCGCTGGCTGACAGCGTTAACAGATATATAATATAAAATTTCACACTTTAATGAATTACACAAAATTTATTTAATTTACTTAATTCTATTCATGATTGATTTTGATTCTTGAGTTTCATTGAAACACGGTAAACATAAAAACGATTCTCCATTACAGCTATTACAAAATGTGACAACACTGGCCATTACTCTACCAGCTTCTGTTGCATTTTTATCATAACATAATTTACAATATTTTCGTACTTCAGAGGCTTTTCCCGGTTTTCTTCAGAGTTTATGTTGTTGTTTTCTAGATATCCTTGCATTTTTGTTTGACAGAATGCCTTCTTTTTCACAACTTGTTGCTATCTTCTACCGCGATACGAATCACTGGCCCTACAATACCAGTGCTTTTAAGCAAAGCACGTGGCCTGAACGGGATAGCCTAAAACATATGTGTGGTGCTCAATGTGTTAATACATACTAATAATTAGTATATTAAGTACATAACTTTAAAAAATGAGGTCATTATATTAAAATGATGATTTTATACGAATTTTTTTGTAAAAGTAGGCTTAATTGCTTTAAATGCGTGGGCCGGTGGCGACGTTCCATTTCAGGTGGTTCGGTCCTGCTGCAACACTTCATTCTCCACACGCTGGTTTTCAAGGGGTTAAGAGTACAATATGGTCCTTTATTTAATAATTAAGTGGCTCCTCTAATGTGTATACTTTTTGGAAATAAGAAGAATATAACCCTCTTTTTTCACTTTAGGAACAAGAATATATGGATTAAAATTAATTCTTCTTTCAGTTAAGATCAGAATTGCATTATTTATCACTGAAATTAAAAGTAACAAATCATTCAATTATTAAGCGACAAACGATTTCCTTCTATGCTTCTGAAATTTTCCTTTTTTCAATGTTTTTTTAATAGAAATGTTAGTTTTAGGAATAGTTTTTATACTTGTTAAAAGTTATAGTTAAGTGTTATTTTAAGCTTTGAGATGGATAACATTAGATGCATAACATATAAAACTAGTATTTACTGTCAGTAGGTCCCATTCAAGATAATTTCATATCTAATTCTTTAAAAAAGCTTATATCTTTCAAAAATTTTCTTACTGATTGCGAGGCTCTAAGCATCCTCCATAGCAACAGGAAAAAAATTTAGGAATAATTATGTCTATGAAAAACAGAGGGTTGCATTAGTATGTGAATAAATTCAATGATTGTGAGCATTTCTTAAATTAAGGTTTTGTCACATATTCTATCTCAAACCAATTGGTTACATAATTAATTTATTTCACTTTCAACTTTCCATAATTTGTGGCAATTTCTTTTGGGGTACTTGTGTATCTTAAGACCTTGGTAAAAACAAAATAACATTTGGCTGCAATCGAAGTAACATGATTACCAGCATCTTTTCCTCAGATGGTAAAAGCCTCAATACATCAGAAAAGAAAGTTCACCAGCAATATCAGGTGTATTTGTTACATAATTCGGTATGATTATTTTATACTTTCTATTCTAAACGTCTTCGGCAATCTCATCCTTATACTCACTTCCTAAAAATGAGTATGTGTGTGTGTTATTATGGCAAAGCCTCGAGGGCTATCTGCCTAAGGGGATGGATGCCTTCGTGGAGGACTTTCTAAGGGTAACTGGCATGTATACACGTTACACAAACCACGAAAACTCCCATGCAGCCAGCACGTTTGCGGGATTCGAACCTCGAACCGAATTACCAGTGTTCAGCGATCTTACCGCTTGGCCGCTGGTCGGCCCTAAAAATGAGTAATTTTAAAAGAATTAGATCATAATATAGAATAGCAAATGTATATGTAATAGAATTATTTCTATGCAAAACAGAGGGATTCATTATTATATGAATAAATTTAATGATTGCTGAGAACGTTTCTTAAATTAAAGCATAGCCATCTATTCTATCCCACACCAACTGGTTGTATAATTTGTTTGTTACATTTTAAACTTTCCATAATTTCTCACTATTTCTTTTGGAGTAACTGTGTATCTTAAGACCTTGGTAAAAACTAAATAATATGCGGTTGGAGTAACATGATCATTAACATCTTTTCCTCAGATGATACAAAACTCCACTATAAACTACAGCCAAAAAAAAAAGAAATTTCACCAGCAATATTAAATACATTTGTTACATAATTCAGCATGATTATTTTATACTTTCTATTCTGAAAGTCTTGAGCAATCTCAGCTTATTAAAATCCTCTAAGTTAAAAGAATTAGGCAGAAATACAGAATTGTAATAGTAATGTAATAAAATAGCTGTCTTCAAAGGCCTTTGTACTCTCAACAGAAAGGCTCTGCAACTAAATATTCAACAAGCCTCAACAAAATACAGTACAAAGTCTGAGATTTGGAACTGACATGACTCAGCAATTTGGGATTTTAGATTATCCATTTAAATCTACCAAGATGACATGTAGAAATTATAAGATTATGAATATTAAATAAACATTTGTAAAATAAAGAAGCATTTATGATCTTCAATTCTGTGAAATAAATAAGCATTTATGATCTGTAGTTTTTTCAGTTCCTTCTGTAGCTTGCAGTTTTTACAGAATTACCACAGCAACTACAGCTTAATATTAAGATACAATAACACGTTGAACAAATATTAATTTAGAAGCCAAACAACAAAAATCAGCATTATATATGAAAATATAATGCTGATTTTTGTCGTTTGACTTCTAAATTAATCAGCTTAGTAGTTAGTATCTATGCTTTATTCTTCCCCCTCCTGTAAGAATATTTCCTTAATATAAGTATGTGATACGCTTAACTTGCAACTGCTCCCAAAGACAATGCTTATGTAATCATTTGCACCTATCACCACTTACATAAGTATGTATCTCAGTTTATTCCAGTTAGATGAATTTGTAAAACAATCTTAATAAATGCTTATTATCATGGTCATTCTTCACACATCATGCTTCCAGAATTTACTTACCTTGGAACAAGGACAAAAACCTGAACCAAATATCCAAAAGGGTAACATTATTCAGAAATTCAAATGCTACTGCTTCATGGGTGAGCACATTATTCAGATCACTGACTAGAGGCCAATAACAATGTTCTTTCATGATACGATGACTACAATCTACTACAAGATGCTCATTCTTGTCAGGACCTAGAAGTAAAATATCTAAATAAATATTTTAATGGAATAAATTAATATATGCTTTTCACCAAAACGTATATATCCTTACATGTGAAATGTAGACTATAATTAATTAATTGTAATGACTATTTCCATATATTTCTGGGTCAATTTTAATCTCAATTATCAAAAAATTTTTCAGATGGTAGAAGCAAATAAAATATCGTTAAGGCCTTTTATCAATCAATTATACTGAAATATATATGAAGACTAAGAACTTGGAAGCAAAATGTGAGTTATAGCTTTTCAGGCATAATTCCAGAACAGACTCTGACTTGAAACTGCCAAAATGATGATAAAATGACAAATGTAGCTAACTTTCACTAACACTGATGTTGTACTGCATAGTAATGTTTCAGTCAACAATTTTTTCCCTGCTGAATTCATAAATTTTCCCATTTTTTCATACTTTAATATATAAGCTTTAAGTTGAATTTGAGATTTTTCTTCAGCCTACACATCTTTATGCTTGCAAAATAAACACGCATCCTCACAAGTTAAACATCACCTAATTCTTTTGCCACTGAATGAAATAAACATATCATTTTTGATGAACACCGTAGCCATTTAATGAAATGCACTTGAATATAAAATTAGAATCTTCAGCAGTTTTGTTTCTTAATCGTCTATTATAAGAAAGGAACCCATATATTTCAAAAAGTGAAGTCTTTATACCAATATTCAATTGCACTAACATTTGGAACTTCAGTATAATAGGTTAACTGAATTTCAGATTCCATCTGCCCACCATTTGGAAAATTACGTTATAGCAATATCACTCAAAAGCGTTGAGGTGAAGGCTTAACTACTTCAAAGTACAAATACAGTAGAAGTCCAGAAATCCACAAAGCTTGGGACCAGAAGTTGTGCGGATTTTAGGATTTTGCGGATTTCAGGACAGAAAAGATAAATCATAATATTCAGAGTAAAGGTGCAAATTACATATGGCAAATGCCTCTTTATGCAAAATAAATAAGGCATATTAGATACATTTATTTAAATTATTATATATATTATTGCAATAACTTATTATATGTGTTAAATTATTATTATGTATGTAAATTGATTATATTATTCATTGTATTAGATATACACAGCATCGAGGTTTGTCGATTTCACCTCATGCAAAGATTTCCGGTTTCGGATTCCGGTGTTAGAATCACTATTGCTATAAAATTTCAACAGCTTTTCTTTATTTTTCCATACACCATACACAATCGTATCAAAATTCCATACAATTTTGCTATAAGCCGATTCTGCTATAAAATGCACCTATCTCCCTCTTTTGCAGAATTTGCACTTTTTGCATTACCGTCAATGCAATGTGTTTACGTTTTTCAACGTTGCAAGCAGTAAAATCATGAGTGCATTTCCTTATCTGTTATTGGTATTAAAAAGGGCTGAAATTTAAAATAATTCTTAATTTATCCACAAAATATCCGGATTAAAAAAAAGGTAGCACTAAATAATCTTGTGAAATAACAAAGCTCAGAAAATACAACAACGTGAATCGTGAACTTGAAAAAAAGAGTTGAGCGAATTGTCTGCTTTCTTACCTCGATGCAGATTAGAGGGTAAAAAACTTTTATCATGATGTCAATAATTTGGTATTTCTGTTATCACTCATTATAATTCAGTAATTATGACGTCATTATTCAGTAAGTATTTTTTCTTCAGTATTTCGTACTCAATGTCCCAGTTTCTGGAACCTATAAACTGAATGTTTATATTTTGAGAGGCAATGCGGTTTTCAGGTCGGCGGATTTTCAATATTTGACTGTACTGATTTCATAAGAAATAAAATGTGTGAAGCATAAAGCATTATCATTGGCAGGTTTAAATTTATCTGATTTCTAATTTATTAAATTTATGAGACACGGCAAGTATAGAAACAAATCAGCGATTCTTTATTCTGTGTTTTCAAAATACACTTAAAATTATCTACAAACCAGAGCTAGCAGATCAAGAAACAAAATAAACAATAAATTTTAATTTATATTTGTTTCATTCTTAATTGCTATTTCCTCATTTCAAATTTGACTGATCAAGTGCTCCTTTCAGCCATTATTTTGAAAATTGGTTTTACCCTTAGCATATTAGGTTAAGGGAACTTTTTGAATATTGACAAGAAGGATTCTGCCCTTGAAAACCTTTTGTTTCCAGTAGAATTAGTTGTTATTTCTAATGCAGAACTGCATTATCTTTCAAATTACATATGGCAATTTTTAATTCTTATTTGTTTCATTCTGAAATGATTTAGCATGATTGAACTAATATTTAAATTTGTTACTTGGTTTCTGATAAGAAATCAATAAGTTAAAATAAACACATAAACAAACAGCATTAATTAAAAAAAAATTGGATGCTACATAAAAACATACATACAGTGACTCGCAAAAATGACCTCACATTTTGAGTTTCCCTTAGAAAGTCCTCAACGAAGGCATCCCTCCCCTAAGGCAAATAGCCCTAGTGTGCTTTGCCATAATTAAATACACACCTCACATTTTGAATTTTTGTATTCTTTAATGAACATAAAAACTAAAATAAATTAAAACAAAAGTAAAGGATTTTATTTTGATTATATATAAATTCAAAGATTTTTTATAGTAAATACATTTAGGTTGCAAAGTTAAAATTAAATTCAAAATTCAGTATCGTTATTTTAATGAGGAAAAATATTCTCACAAAACAAATCGGACACTTTTAGTATCAGCCAAAACTGACAACAACATACACTGTATTTGCTTCTTAAATATCTTGCGGGATGACCTTAACATATGTTCACTTCATTTAATCTTTTGGGCATTGACTTCACAAGATTTTCTTGTTACTTTTGGCTTATTTTATGCTACTGCTTTTAGTTGCTTCCATGAAGACATGCTCTGTTTTCGAATTTTCGATTCCACTTCCTGCCAAATATGTTCAGTAGGATTAAGATCTGGCGAGTGAGGTGGTACCTTAAGTACTTGTGGGCACTTATACAATAGCCAGAGTCCAACATTGGGTGCAGTATGCTTTGGATAATTGTCCTGGTAAAATTTAAAACTATTTTGTATATTATTTTTTGTGCTGATGATGCAAAATTTCTCTGCAAGATGTCAACGTACTTATACAGATTCATAACACCATTTATAAACTCTACATTACCAACACCAGAATGTGCCGTAGATCCTCATATCATAACTCCTCCTCTGCGATGTTTAACAGTTGGTACTAAGTTTTGCTTTCAAAATTCTTATTTGGGTTTTCTCCACACCAGCACTCGTCCATTTGAGCTGCTGATGTTAAATTTGCTTTCATCAGCAAACAACACTTTTTCCCAGTAATCAGGGTGTCTTTTGTTTCATACATTTTGTGAAAAGGATTTGAAGTTTTTATTATTATTATTATTATTACTGACATAAAATTTTTATCTTGCTACTCGCCCATGATATCCTGCAGATTTCACTACTCTTCTTACAGTTTCTAGATTTACACATATTCCATATGATTCATGAAGTTCCAAAACAAGTTCAAGTGCACTCAGTCTTGGACTTTTTTTAATATTCCTGAGGCTAAAGTGTTTCATTCCTTCAGATAACTTAGATGGTCTTCCAGGTCTTCTTTCATTTTGAATACAATTCTGTTTCTTGTAACGCTTAATAATATAAAAAACTTTAGAAGTTCTTAAATTATGTAAATAGGCAATTTTTCTAATAGATTTCCATTTCTTTTAATGGAAATCAATAACTAATCTGCTAGTTTCTAATGATGTTTCCTTTCTTGACCGAGCCATTGCAAGAAAACATTAAAATAACAAATATCTTCTAAAATGAAAATTCGAATTATAAAAGCAAACATTTTTTAGATTTTTGCTTAGCTTCTTCATCCAAAATTCCATAAAATTTCATTCCTTATTTATTGCCAGCAGTTTTAATTAGAAATTATAAAATGTCTAATTAATTTTTGTTATCTTTTTCTTCTAATTCAGCCTAACACATTATTATTTTTTTTTTTTTAATTTACCATTTAATTTTTTTAGTTCAAATTTATTTAGTACAAAGAGAAAGCTAAGAAAATATGCACTCGAAGAGAAAATATTCTTTATTCTTTTATTTCAAAGCTTTTCTCTTATTACATAAAAAAATAAAAAATCATAGTGGCCAATCATTTTTGTGAAACATTGAATATATTAACAAAATAAATTATTCAATTACAAAACATTTCTTCATATTCCAAAAGCATAATCTTTCTCTTAAAACTTGTGAAAAGATTTTTCATAAAACCATTAAGAAACCCTTGCCTTTAAGAAAACAATGACAGATTTTTCCCATTCGTCGAATAATTTTTTTCCAGAGCTTTTCTCATTAATTAACATGGTATAGAAATAATTTTTTGTTAACATACTCGGCACAAACAGGAATTTTCTTCATTGATTCATATAAAGTGCTGTTTTTCACAAATCAATTTTTTGTTACACTTACAAAAAGTTAAGAGCTAATCTTTATTGCAGTATAAATAATAGAAGTTTTTCTTTTTTTTTTCCGATGGCAGATTGTGAACAATTACAAATGTAACCCAGTCCATTAATCTATACAAGGCCGGATGTGGTGGTCTCTTTATTATGGAGGCACCTCATAGGTGGACCACCATTGCCTTTCCTATGAAGGGACGGAAAGTTACAACCATGCCTTCTCCGGGATTCGAACCCAGGCCCTTTGGCATCGAAGTCAGCTTCCCTGACCACTATATCGACTGGGTAGCATAGAACTTGGTATTCATACCTAACCAACAGATAGCTTAAGACTAGTTTCTTTACTATTTATCAATACTGAGCAAATGTCATTTATCACCTGATAAACGACAGTAAACTGTAGAGGCTGCCACAGGGAGATGCTTATTTTGCTTGAAAAGTGCAACACCATACCTAAACCTGAGCTTTATCCTCATTAATGGCATTAGTAAGAAATTTTGGATGCTTTCTATATTATTTTTCAAGATTCTCATAAGGATCTAAGGAAAAAGCTGTGTATAGACCTCCATATGTTGCTGCTTCTAATTATTACTCAGCAAATATAGAATTTTCCAAAAGAATGTACTAGTATATGTACTAGTTTGTTTAAGCCAACCCCTAGTGAGGAGACACTTGCTGCAATAAAGAATCATGATACAGTTATTATGAATCATGCACTTCATGATAATTTCATGCACGTTTGCAAAATTCTGTGAAACCATGCTGGTGGAAAGATAACCTAAACAATTAACATCATTAACTGATGCATAGTCATCTTTGAAATAGTTAAATTACACATTTTGTTCTCCGTTCTTTCTTAACTCCGTTCTTTCTTAAGATGCTCTCACTTCATGAATTTGTATCACTGTTTTCATGCTTACAAGAAAGAGAATGGGGGGGGGGAATGAGCACATGTTCGCATTTCTTTATATTGCCTTTTTATATGCAACAAATAACAATTGCATAATAATATCAGTACAATAAAATAACACAGGTTAACTCCTGCATAAAAAAAAAACTGGGTTCCTAAAAAATGTCCTGTTATGTGAATTTATATCATATAAATGAAAGAGAATTAAACACAAAAGTTTCATTGCTATGAGAACTAAAGTCCTAAAGTAAATAGATGGATTAATTTAAAAAAGGGGGATTCTTTCCTATAAAAGTACATAATGTTTAATTTGTTGGCGCTATTAATCATTACTAAACTTTTTTTTTAAAGGGGGAGAGCTAAATAAGCCTTGCCTTCTGCCAGCAGAATCTTGACTTTTAATGCTCCACACTTTTTTTAGGAAAGCAGTGCAGGATATATGTAAAAGCTGCACAAGCTATAGATTAAAGCTCTCACTTTCTTGGGGCCACCCCCAAAAATTGTACCATATCCCATATAAAAAAAAACTCACTCATATCCCTCATAAAGGGCCCCATATCTCAAATAGCTTAGGACCTAATCAAATCTAAATCCGGTCCTGAGGAGAAGAGGAGGATTTGTTAATCTCAATTGCTTACTTTTAGCTGAGAGAGCTTTATAAATGTCAATGTATGAAAATAAGCACTCCACAAGAAATGTCTCAAATTATATTCTTCCTTCAGAGAAAGATATTAATGCAAAACTACAATTCCAACTGAACAAAAATTATTTCTTTTTTTTTTTCAGCTGTAGAGACATTAAGGTATTATTTTTGAAGTAGGAAACATGAAAAATGAGCAATGCTCTCGCTGGGACCTCTTGAATACGTGGCTAGTGTGCTACAGTTAACCATGAAGGCATGCAGAAAAGAGGAAGAAAATATTTTACTTTTAATATCGTAGGAATGTTGCGTTATAGGGGGATTTTCCCCATTTCCAAACACTGTTGTAGATATGCATCTCACATGGTGGTTGCCTGCATTTCTAGATAGTTCCAACTGAATATATTTTAATTCATTCCTGCCAACTCTACCGCTTCTCCCATTTAAACAGCAATCATGTTTAATCTTCAGAATTAGTTCCTTTTAATTATAAGAAGTTTCATGTTTATCTTTGCCCTAATTTAACAGATCAAAGATATAATCCACACTACTTGAAGTCCATATGATCCTAGCATTGTTTACAAAAAATTATTAATTATTTAACAAGTTTCCCACCACTTAAGTTATTTTCCATTCATTCATTATATCAAGCATTTTAAAATGTTAATTTATTGCAAATGGTAATTTCAGCACATTATATCACTATTTTAAAACATAAATATTGCACTAAGAAGTAATAAAAGGTATTTAAACCATAATTTCTTTTGTGATATAAAAAAAATTCATTGCAGAAATACAACACTTAGATACCTCTTTAAAAAAAAAATAAATAAAATAAAAAAATAAATTAAAAAAAAATAAATAAATAAAAGACACCATTAATAAACAACTTAAATGATTTGCAACAAAATCAATTAGATCATTTAATTCTCCTTTTGATATATCTCCTTTAAGACTATCTATACAGCAATCTATATAGATGAAATGAAGGAAAGAGAAGTTCAGATGATTATTTTTACCATGGACGTTGCACTTATTAACATTATTAGTTCATGGATGAAGCTGTTTTTAATTATGACACAATATTCAGGCAAACAATAATAATTATGCATGTTCTCCGCAATCTAATTTTATATAAATCTATAAAATGGGAGTTGTTTTTAATAATGATGTAATCTTCAGGGAAACAATAATAAATATGCATGTTCCCCACAATCTAATTTTATATAAATCCATTAAAAGAGTGCATAAAATGTTCATTGGAAAGGATAAAACTAATCAAAAATGTCTTAAATTTCAAAAAGAATAGATGACATAGACAAAATATAATACATATGTATAAAGCATTACTGCTAAGTACTTTCATAAGTAAATTTTAAAAAAGATTAACTTACACTGAAGTGTACTGTCTTGTGATATAGTAACCATCATTGAACCCAAACTATCTACCATAACTCGCAACAAATCATGGTCTTTTGCCATCTGGTAAGCAAGATCTTCATTACTGAATAGTTGGACACTAACATGCACAACTCTATTAGAAAGTGTGTCAGAATCTGTAGACCTCGCCAACATTTCACTAATTCTTTTGTAGTGCCTGACAAATATTTTAGTAAATGCTTCCTATACAAATAGAAAAACAAATAACATGCATTGAATATAAAAAACATAATATCAAATGCTATCAGAAAAGGCTAACATCAATACATTTTAAATACTAAAATTTTATTAAAGAATAAGGGAAAATGATAAATTAACACAATACACAAAATAACATATAGCATGAATAAGGGAAATGATCATCATTATTTGCAACAAGAGAATTTTTTTTTATATGTATGGGTATTGTCTGATAATCTGATTTTAAACAAGACTATGATGTATAATTTTAAAAAGAATGTCAAAACAATAAATATACACAGAATTTATAATAATTAAGCAGAGAGTTTGTCGACGTAAATATATATATCCCATACTGCATGTATGGAGGTGTAGTATGAAGTTTTGCCACATGCTGTCTGGGTCAGAGACGTGCAAAATGGTGCTTTTATGGGATTGGCTCAGAATTGTTCGCTATAAGTGAAAAGCAAGAAGAATTAAACAAGCAGTGGAATCAGGGAAACTGACTGAATCAAACACTAACTCCTTGAATTGATTTTTTTCATCTGTAGTTTTGAGATTCCTTAAAACTTCCTTTCTAATTAATAATAAAAAAAACTTATAAATGCTTGACAAAATATGAAATAGATAAGAAAACAACGTATTTGGGTGGAGATATACATTATTCAAAATTTGATGTCTCTAGGTACCGTTGTTTTATCACAATGCAAGAAACACGCATACATTTATTCAGATTCTTCATTATTTAATTTCTTTAAATATAGCACAGGGCAATAATATTTGGTGGCAACAATTTGAAAAGTGAAACGGATATTTAAAGCTTTTGATGCAAAATGCCAAAACTAAATTAATAGTCCTTTGGGCTATTTATAGGATCAAAAATTTTAAAAAGTTGAAAAATTATGATTAAATAATAAAAATTAAACTCACTTTTAAGATGGAAGAATAAATATTAATTAATACTTTAAAATTCAAATCAAACTTCCCTACAGCTTTTCCAACATGAGCTCTCAGAATTCTGAAAAACTCCATTCTTTTTTTCAGGGGTGAGAAAGAACAGGCACTCACTCATGCACTAAAGTAAATCAGTTTGCAAACAAATAGCACATCTCTATTGTTGACATGCTTCCAACAAAAACTTGCCATGAATTGTACAAAAACTAGTACACTGTTTTTGTTGAGAATAATCACACGTACTCCCCGTTCTTGTTTTAATGTCATGTATTTTAACTGTAACTGTTTTATACTTTTGCTTAGGTTGATCTGGCAACAGTTGTAGTAGTTCTTGGTCACGGTTTGATATGTAGAAACGTGCCGTGCCATGTGGGCGTGAAATTCCATCTTCTAATAAAACCTCTACTTAATTATCATCGGCCTCTGATTCACTTCTTTTAAATCTTTACAGCAGAGCGTGGTTCTGATATTGAACACGCTAGAGGCGAAGCATTTATATTTGTTTTGTGGAACTTATTTGTTTGGAACGGAAGCGCGCGTTAAGTGAAATTTGAAATGGCAGCACGTGATGAGAACAAAAAGTATTGTGTTGAGCCGTTTAACGGTAAAAACTTTTCTGTTTAAGCGCCGTGTTGTAGAAGCTGTCTTTGCAGCCAAAGAACTTGATAAATATTTAGACGTTGAAGCGGATGAAACGAACGTTGCTGAAATCAAAGATGCAAAAAAAACGGCTTACGCATTGCTGCTAACCCTTCTAGATGATGCCATATTGGCGACCATGTCGAGTGAATCTTCTGCATGTGAAATTTGGAGCAGTTTAAAGAATAAATACCTGAGTGAGTTTAAAAAATAAATACTGAAGGTGAGTGGCAGTTAGTCAAATATTAGTACGAAAGAAATTATCGACACTGAAGAAACGCTGCGAGATTGCAGTATGCAGTCACATATTAACGAACTGTTGGCGATCGTAAATGAACTGCGTGACTGTCGGGTGCTGAAGTCAAAGATATGGATGTGATTATTTATTTGTTGATGTCGCTACCTGCTGAGTACGACATTATTAAATCGAACGATTGAGAACCAGCCAAATGAAATGCTTACGCTGGACTTTGTTATGCAAAGACTCTTGAATGCTGAAGAATTGCAAGGTTGAGAGAATTCTTACGATTCTCGTGTTTCTGGCTCAAGTAAATAACGTAGCTTTTAGCGCTGATAAGCGTGATATCATCTGCCACAAATGTAAAAGTAAAGGTCATATTACCAAGCTTTGCCAAGAAAAAATTAGTTTGTTTTGGATATGTGGACGCCCAGGGCATTACAAGAAGGATTGCAGATTTAAGCATAAATCAGATTACAGAGAATCGGCTGCAGTAACATTCATGGTTTGGCGAGCCTGTTGGAAATTTCATTCTGGATTCTGGAGCATCTACACACATGTGTAATACAGGTGAGTGGTTTGAAGAAATTAAACCTTTTTCTGGAACTGTTTGCCATGTGCTTCGAAAAATGATGTTTTAAAGGTAGAAGGTATTGGTACAGTACCTGGAACATTAAATGGAAGAGAAATATTACTTAAAGATGTGTTATATGTGCCTGAATTGAACGGTTAATTAATATCTGTGAAGAATATGCAAAAAGCAGGTTACAGTGTAATTTTTAAGAATGATGTAGCTGTTATTGAAAAGAGGAATGAAAAATTTAGAGTTTGCTAAACTCAGTGAGAAAGGACAGTATGTGAGTCAATTTGAACCTGTTAAAGCTTCAACATACATTGCAAATCATAGTGCAGAATTATGGCACAGGCGCATGGGGCACTCATCTGATAAAATATTTAAAAGAATGGGTTTTGCCAGTATCTGAGTCACCATCAAGCTTTTTGTGAAGAGTGCATACTAGCAAAAACATTCCAACACTCCTATGAACAAAGGTCCTAGAAGCAGAGAGCATGTGCCGATGAGAAGAATGGTACACACTGACATATGTGGTCCCATTGATCCACCCACTAGGGAAGGTGAAAAGTATTTTGCTACAATCATAGACGATTTTTCTAGATTTACTTGAAGTGCATCTCTTAAAGCAACAAGAGTGACATAAATGAAGTGTTTAAATTGTTCCTAAGCAGAATTCCTGATTTCTACAAAATCCGGTGTGATAATGCCAAGGAATACGTGTCTGGTGAACTAGCTCGTTATTGCAAGAAAAATGGTGTTATGATAGATCCTGCTCCTCCGTATTCACCTCCTTTGAATGGTGTGGCTGAGAGAGCCAACAGATATCTTTTAGAGAAGGCCGAGCTCTAATATGTGAAGCAAAGCTTTCTAAATCCTTCTTTGGGGTTATGCTGTACAGACAGCTGCATATCTTAAGAATAGAATTCCAAATCAGACTGTTGAAAATGTACCTTATGAGCTCAAATATGGGAAGCCGCCTGATTTGAATATTATTAAGGTGTTTGGATCTGATGCATACATGAGAGTTCCTGAGGAACATAACTTAAGAAAGAAACCCTTGCATCCAAAATCAAAAAAGAAACGTGTTTAAACGTTTTTATTGGATACTCTACCATGGGTGGGTTTCGTCTACTGGACCCAGTCACAAATCATGTTGTGGTTTCTCGAAATGTGTTGTTGTTCAAATGAAGAGAAAAAGAAAATGTATCTCAGTTCAAGATGATTTTTCCATAGAAAGTAAAGATCCTGCTAAAGATGAAGTAATATGTGATTCAAGTGATGTAGAATCCAGAAATCTTGAAGAAAGTCATGAAGAAATTACTAGGCAAAAAAGAAATATAAAATTACCTGTAAAGTTGAATGATTACTTTGTGTATGAAGCTAATGTGGCAACTCTTGATACAGTAACATATGAGGATATAAACATCATGCCAAAAGAGCAAGTTCTATGGAGGAAAGCCATGGATGAGGAAATAGCTTCTCTTAATAAAAATGAAGTGTGGGAGTTAGTCAACTTGCCAAAGATGGAAAAGCGAATATCCTGCAAATGGGTGTTGCGCATCAAACGAAACAATGTTTACAAAGCTAGATTGGTTGCTCGTGGCTTTGAACAGAAGCCAGGCATTGATTACTTTAAGACCTATGCTCCTGTAATAGTATATCATCACTTCGACTTGTGCTGGCTATCATTATTCAAAAGAATCTTGAAATCTATGCATTAGATGTAAAGACTGCATTTCTGAATGGTGATCTCCAAGAAAGAAAAATCTACATGGAACAACCAATGGGCTACAATGACAACAGTGGTCGTGTGTGCAAAACTTCTTAAGAGTTTTATTGACTTAAGCAAGCACCGAGGCAGTGGTTCAAGAGATTTACTGATTTTATAATTCTGTTAAACTTTCCAACAACTTAAATGTGAAGCATGTACTTTTGTAGAAGAACTAAACAGAGTTAAATATTTATTGTGCTGTATGCGGATGACTTGCTAATTGCTGGTTCTAATGCTTCAGAGGTAAGAATTGTGATTGAATTACTTAGAAAATGAATTTGAGATGTCCCAGGCTGAAGTTGCAAATGAATTTCTTGGAATAAGTTTTGAATATTCACAGAACAAACTTACTTTAGGCCAAAATCTTATGTTGAAAAATTGTTAAATAGATTTAGAATTTAGATTGTAAGCCATCTGATACTTCCTCTAGCGCCTAAGTCAACTTCATTGAATTTTGTGAATGGTGAAAGATTTCATGGCCCTTATCGTGAACTTGTAGGTGCTTTGCTGTATCTGTCTATGACAACTCGTCCTGATATTCTGTTTTCTGTGAACTGTCTGGGTCAGATACAAGAACAGCCCACTAACAATGCTTGGGCTGGTCTGAAGCAAATTCTTCGATATTTAAAAAGGACATCTGAATTGAAATTATTATTTTGTAAATGTAATAATAGTGTTGATATTATGTTAAATGTTTATGTTGATGCTGATTGGGGGTCAGATACAAATGATAGAAAATCTATTTCAGGGTATATTATTTTCTTTAATGATTGTCCTGTAACTTGGTCTGTTAAAAAGCAAATATCTATTGCTCTGTCCTCTACTGAGGCAGAAAGAAATTTTGGCTTTAGCAAAAAGCTATCCAAGGATCCTAACTGTATTTTATAATGTATCTAAAGAACTTTTAGGAGTCGACAATATTAAAGTTTCAGTTTATGAGGATAATCAGTCTGTAATTAAAGCAATATTAAATAAAAGTCATTGTGCTAGACTAAAACATTTGGATATTAAATTACAGTATATTATAGATATTGTAAAATTGTATGATATAAATCTTGTATATGTTTCTAGTGAAAATCAGTTAGCTGATTTGTTTACAAAATGCTTGCCTAAACCAAGATTATGTTATTTAAGATATAAATGTAAAATAATATGTGATTAAGGGAGGGTGTTGAAATAATCACACGTACTCCCCGTTCTTGTTTTAATGTCATGTATTTTAACCTATAACTGTTTTATACTTTTGCTTAGGTTGATCTGGCAACAGTTGTAGTAGTTTCTTGGTCACGGTTTGATATGTAGAAACGTGCCGTGCCATGTGGGGTGATGAAAATTCCATCTTTAATAATAAAACCTCTACTTAATTATCATCGGCCTCTGATTCACTTCTTTTAAATCTTTACAGTTTTTCAGAATCACAATTCATTCACTCAATAAACTATAATCCAAATCCTTTATTGTTAACAGACTTCTTGATTTCATTTTCAATCATACATTATTAAGATTCTTGCAAAAAAAAATTATTTTTATAAAGCATCTAAATTTATTATTAAATTGGAATAAAACATTGAAATAAATTTAGATGCTTTAAGTTTATATATATATATATATAAGTGTGTGTATATGTTATCACTATTCAAGTTTAACATTTATTCTCCTTGGTACTTCTATGATATTTTTGAATATTTTACATTTTTCGTTGAAAATAATTTTCTCCTCCAGAGAGAAGAATATATATATATATATATATATATATATATATGTAAACTACACTGCTTAATATGTATGTATTATACAGTAAATTTTTTTTTTTTTTTTTTTTTTTTTGCAAGAATCTTAATAATATAAATTGAAAATGAAATCAAGAAGTCTGTTAACAATAAAGGATTCGGATTATAGTTTATTGAGCGAATGTATTGCTAGTTATTATTAAAAATGATTACCTTATAATTTAAGTCTGGCATCATGTTTAGAAGCAAGCACACAAGTTTCTGGGGAAATTCAAATTTGATAGTCCAAAAAACTAGTTCATCTAAGAAACATGATTGCTTGAAATCTAGATGAAGATTACTCCATTTCACAGCACCTATAACCAACAGTTGTAAGGTTGTACTAATGCCAAAAAAAAGATACACAGAAATTTTCCAAACAAATTCAGAAACTGAAATACAAAAAAAATATACCATCACTTGAGGGGCCAGTACCATTCCGAGCTTCTAGGAATTTTTTCAAATTTTCTAGTTTATATTCAGATACTCCTTGATTTGCTGAATCACAGTCTAAAAATTAAATAATAATAAACAAATGAATAAATAAAAAATGTCTTAGTCATTTTAAGCGAGATTTAAAAATACAGTCCAATTGAAATGATAAAATAAACATAACTTATTCTTTCTTTATATACAGACGGGCTTTAAAAGCAATATAAGATATTTCTTACAGCTGATATTAAAAAAGGAATAGAAATTAATCCCTATTTGTTAAACTTGTGCTGATTATATATATAAAATCGGTTATATAACAATAAAATCAGTGCAGGATTTACGTATAAGCTACATACGCTATAGCTTAGGGCCCCTACTTTCTTGGGAACCCCCGAAAAATTAAAATATAATATTAAAATATAGTATAACAGACTTATAAAGGGCCTGATATCTCAAATAGCTTAAGGCCTTATCAAGTCTAAATCCAGCACTGGATAAAATTAAAAACTTATGCATCTTTTGGAACAAACTGTGATCAAGGCAGTAAACAAAATAATGAGAAACTGTAAACCATGAAGTAACTAAAGCATTGCCGAGGAATATATCTAGCCTCAATCTACTTTAACAGAAATATCCTTTTGATAACTTTCATATCAGACTACTGTCTATCATAAGCAAAAATAAATACACTAAACTAAATTTCCTATATTTGAATATTTTAAGCCTTTTAATTAGATTTTGATGTTAGACCACTATATTTGACTCAATTTTTATCAAGCAATAAAGCTACAGTCAAAAGTCGTTAATCCGGACTTGTCGGGACTTCGGCGATTCCGGATTATCGATTTTTCCGGATTATAGATCATCAGTTTAAATCTGGTAAGATGGCATGCAGAAAATTAAATATTAAATTAAAAATATGAAACCGTTTTATAATTTTATGAAATAAAGAACAATTATGATCTAAAGGGTATCAAAATTTACAAAAAAAAAAAAAAGCTTAATATTTATTTGTTTACTTTATTAAACATTTCTTTCAATGTACGTTGTTTAAGTTGCTTCGTTTTTCATGCGATAATACATTCTCTTTAATTCTATAAACAGACATAATTTCTTGTTCAGTTACAAAGTTCTGCTGTTCAAGTCCTATAATTGCTGTGTCTATCGACTAATTTGTCAATTGAAATTTTTTTCTTTTCTATAACCTCTGTCGGGAAGCGAATTATAATGACGAGGAATTTGATTTAAATCATATCAAAGACGGAGTACATCGAGATGAAATACTACATTTAGAAAGGAATTATAAGCCAAATAAAATAAAAACATCTGCCCTGAAGATAAGGATAGTGCTGACAGATCAACTTCCAATTCATGGCGTGCAGCGCAGCAGCAGCGGCGTTAAAGATAAACAAACGTTTAAGTTTAAATAAACAAAGGATATGCCTTTATCCATTTTTTGCAGCAATTCCACTTTTGTTAATGAACTTTGAAATATACTTTCGCTTTGTAGATCTTTACATATTAATAATATTATATCAGAAATTCTATTTGACATAATCGAAAGTTCAAGCTTACTTTTATAAAAATTGCTCTAAACAGTCTGCAAAAATATAAGCCGGATCCAATTCGAAGATTAAGGAACAACGCAATCGCAACATTAACTGAAATAGATATTAGATATTTTAGCTTAGCTTATACCGTCCATTATCCCTTGCGGCATGGTGGGTCATATACGCCACCTAATTAATATTTATTTTCTCAGTTAGCAATTTCCGTTAGAAATTTTCTAATCTTTTAAAAATAATCTATTTTAGCTATTATTTTCTCAGTAGATGTTACTACTATACCAGGGGCTAAGTTATAAGCAAAAAATATTCAAAATAGGATCACAAGAGATATCCATGTATCTCGCATTTTTCAATATTTTAAAAATTTGGTATACAATTTATGATATGTATGATCTTTTTAATATTCAAAGGTATTTATTTTCAAAATCTTAATTGGTAAATTTTATAACATTAATTTTGCAGTTGAAATAAGTGGGTTAAACATTTTCCACCACACACTTGAATTCCGCTCAATAGATGGCAGCACTCACGATTATTTTCTTTTCTTTTTTTCATCTACTTTTTCGTGATTGCGCGCGCTTTTACATCCGTTGTATGCTCTGATGTGCTAAAATGTCAGAAAAAAATTAACACTCAGGAAGTTTGGATCTTTTTGCTGAATTGCCATCCGATTGCGACTCAAATGCTTCAGATGAGTTCTGATTCATGAAATTAAATTAAAGAGAGAATAGCTGATGTTGAAGTTATTGCTGTAGAAGAAAGGGATAGTTATAGTTTGTTTCGATTTTAAAGACACAGACTTATCTATGCATGTGGCACTGTAAATATGGATCGGAAGTCTACCCAAAAATTTAAAGACAAATTTATGTCAGAGAAATATATAGACTTTTCATTAGCGATGATAAATTTTTATTGCATAAAATGGAAGGATAAAAAGATCTGTTTCTATCCGTCTGCTTGGAAAAGGCAACTGAAATGAAAGAAATTAATAGAAAAGAACGAGATGGAAAAACAAAACAACAAAACAACAAAAAAAGTACTGTGCCCCCAAACAGCATTATTTCATATAATAAGAATATGGGAATATGTCGACTTATTTGATCAACTGAAAGGACTATATGAAATAGACCGCAAAAGCAAGAAATGGTGGCACAGGATATTTTTTTTCCTTTTTACATGCGAGTATAGTAAACACATTTATTCTATTTAAGTTTGTTCGCGAAACCCGAATCATGATGTAAAAACAATGAAAGATTTTAGTCTCTCAGTTATTAGAAGGTCTAATGGCACTTGCAGGCAAGAAAGAGCTGAAAAATGAACTGAAATCCCCAGTTCAAATAAAAACTAAAAAACCGTTCGTACAACCAGAAAAGACTAAAAAATGTAAGTTACAACACCAAAGAGAAGGAGCAGCAGAAAATGTGCATATTGCAGCACATCGAAAAGAAGAACGCCGAACATTTTGGATGTGTGAAACATGTGAAGTGCCTCCATACTTACAAAAGAATGAAACAACATTTTTTCAAAGTTTTATGAAAAATGACTTTTTTCATTTTTAATCATATATAAATGTTTTTGAATCAATGCCAATTTATTTATTTATTACATATCAATTTTAACTTAAAATAATATTCAAAAAATATTTCTTTTGTTCCTAAAATTTACAATATTAAATATTAAAATATCTACAGTCAAAGTCGTTAATTCGGACACCCATAATCCGATCTATAATCCGGACCTCAAAGCTAAAATCTTCTGCAATGCGCCGCATTGACGCATGCATAGGCGTTTTACCGTGCGCGAGACATTTACGACTGCGCAAGTGCAGAATACGTTTTCGCGTGCGCGTTTAATGTATAACGACGCTATAAGCTAAAATTATCTAATTATCTATTCAGTTAATGTTGATGATTGCGTTGTTCCTTAATTCGAATTGGATCCAGCTTATTTTTTTGCAGACTGTAAGAGCAATTTTCTAAAAGTAAGCTTGAACTTTTGATTATGTCAAATAGAATTTCCGATGCGGAGCTCCCAAAGGATCTAGAAAACGAAAGTATGTTTCGATGTCCATCAAACAAAAACGAATTGCTACAAAAAATGGATAAAGCATATGCTTCTTTGTTTATCTACCGTTCTGAAATCTGTTTATCAATTTCACGCTGCCTGCGCGGGGGGGGGGGGGGGGGGGGAGACGCGCTGCGCGCAATGAACTGGAAGTTGATTGTCAACACTATCGTTATCTTCAGAGCAGATGTTTTTATTTTATTCGGCTTATAATTCCTTACTAAAGTAGTATTTAATTTCGATGTACTCCGCTTTGATATGATTTAAATCAATTCCTCGTCATTATAAATACACGAATACAAATCAAATAGTTTTTCTGGTTGCAATTTTCTAATTTCGGCTATGCGTAGGTATGCTTTACGCATCCGCGCGTTGAAAGAAATGTTTAATAAAGTAAACAAATAATATTAGGCTTCTTTTTTGGTAAATTTTGATACCCTTTAGATCATAATTGCTCATTATTTTATAAATTACGGTTCATATTTTTTTAATTTATAATTTCTGCCAGCCATCTACCAGATTTAAACTGATGATCTATAATCCGGAAAAATCGATAATCCGAATCGCCGAAGTCCCGACGAGTCCGGATTAAGACTTTGACTGTATATCAAAATTTTAAAGTATGCATATAGCAATAAGTACATAAAGCATTTTAGTGTGTTTTAATGAATATTTTGGAATGCCACGCTTATTTTGTTATCCCCAATGAGTTTTTTTGATACACCAATATGCTATGACTGCTAGTTGCATGGGGGACAAACGTATCCACCTCCACCAAAAAAATAAAATCTCAGAATTTTTTTCAAGCCTTAAAGGCACTTAAGTAAGTCCATCTGACTTATTCTAAGGCATTTTTTAAAAGATTAAAATATTTTAAAATGCTGTCGGCAAAGGGTTTCATTAAACGCGCACTCCTAAACGTATTTTGCGCCGCGCAAAGCATATTCGCACCATAAATGTCTAACATGGTGAACGCGACCATGCGCAGAAAGTTTGTAGCTTTGAGGTCCGGATTATAGATCATTCTGGATTATGGGTGTCCGAATTAACGACTTTTGACTGTATAAGGTATTTCTACTGCCTTCTTAAGGAACCTTCGTGGTGTAGTGGTCTGCACACTCAGCACGTAATTGAGAGGTCAGTGGTTCAATTCCCGGCGAAGGTGTTGCTCAATTTTCATCTTGCCTGCTTCCAAAAATACCTAATGTCTCTACAAAGCAAATTTTATAAAGCAAAGCAAAATCTGCACAGCCATTTAAACCATGTTCGATATATGTGTTTGCAAAGGCTATCTACAGCCTGACTGTGGGCCAGTAGATGGTTGTTAGGCACTATGCCAGAGAAAAGGCCATTGAACATTCACCAAATGCAATACAGAATAGCCAATTATACAGAGGTGTAAAAAAAATTCACAGCTGTGTTTTGCTGTCTGTATTAAGTAAGTTTGAAAGCATTTCAATTTAAAACACTCTCTCCTTTACTACAGCACAGCATTATCTCAGTGACATAAATTTCATTCATTTCTTTTATTAATTTATTACCAAGTTTGAACAGGGAAAATAACCTACAAATCTTTCTCTCTTCCCCCCCCTCCCTTTCTTTTTTTCTTTTTCTTTTTTTTTTTTTTTGACCTTTTTACTTAAGCATTAATAATGATTTTCTTTTCATCTTTTCAACAATGAAGTACTATGTCAAAAATACTTTATTATGAATGAAAATTTACATTTTTGCCCATTTAGATCATTCATATTTTTAAAAGGAGACTAAATATTTATGTAGTTATAAAATTTATAAATGTTATTTGCTAATTTAAATAGATTTCTCCTGAATGTTGGCTTTTCTGTAGTTTATATATCAGTTAAAAATGGGTACCTTAATCACATAATGAAAGCAAGTACTTATGGGTTCAACAAAAATAATGATACATACCGATAGCCAATTGGAGATAAAGTTGAGGGTTAATCAGAGCACGTGTCATAACATCACGCATGGCAGCACCCATCTCACTATAATTATGTAACATAGTCAAATACCCATCAGCAAAAAGTATGGCTGCCTGATACCTGTCTATTGTAGCTAATGTAACAAAAAGCAATTTGCATGAGTAATATAAAATAGATTACATGCAACAAAAAGATGAAAAAATTTTAACTTTTTTTTATATATTATTATTGTTTTGCCCTACCTTCTTTTAGCTTTTAAAATACAACCATTAATTACAGAGAATGTCCCATCAAAACCACATTAACTCTGTAGAGTGAAAATTCTTGATTAAACTATACATAAAAAATGATTCAAGAAATGTATCTTACAATAAATAGTTCACAAGGAAAATGTAGAAGAGAAAGTATGATATCACCATATAAATAGAAAAATTAATTTACTCAGAAACCTGATTAGTCATACTTTACATTTCCACAAGAAAATGCTCAAAACGGTCACCATGCATCATGGCTGATATATCACACCTAACCCGAACATGTAAGATAATGTAGTAGCAATAAAGGTACATCATCAAGGAAATCATTAATTACATTATTGAAAAATACAAAGTATAGTTCAAACAGTCAATATACTATCCCATGCATTCACAAAGCAGCCAACTTCATAGTTTTGCGGGCAGATTCATGAGGACTGTACTGTGATAACACACAGCTATAGTAACTGTTGGAGACTCCAACATATATCAAATATAATTAATTAATCCATCCATTAGATAGATATGTGCAATGGAAATATTGCTGGCTTTATGTTATGACAGCATTCATGAAAGTCAAATCATTTACATAATCTGAATATTGACTTTGCATGATTCTGCAGTGAAGTGGATAGATCCTCCGATGCTCATAATATTTTGTACAGAATTGTAATGAACTGCCTGCCTAGTGCACTGATGCTCAATTTCCAAACTGCTTCAATTTATTTCAAGGTCACAATTTCCTGTAACAGTTATAAAATATTTTCTCCCTCGCATGCCTTCATGGTGTAATAGTAGCACACTTGGAATATTCAAGAGGACCAGCTTCGAGTCCCGGCGAGGGCATTGTACATTTTTTCCTGTGCACCTGCTTCAAAAAATCCTGTTGGATCTACAGTGATGCCAGAACTAAATAAGGTGGTGGATGATGATTCTTCACCACCAAGATTTGGTGACTGGGTCTCCTAATCTTCAGTTGCCCTTTAAAAGGGGGGAGTACACAGAGTATTTTCTCTCTACTTTCTGCATGTCTTCGTGGTGTAACAGTAGCGCACTCAGCATATTTGAGAGGTCCAGGTTCGAGTCCTGGCAATGGCATTGCACATTTTTCTCTGTAAACCTGCTTCAAAAATATCCCAATATCTCTACACAGTGTTAAGACTGAAATAAGCTCTGCTACCAACAGTGTGGAGATTTTTTGCTTGAAGAATACTTATTATTCTAATTGTCACTCAGTCTACAGATGAACTGATGGATAATACTAATGGATTGTCACATTGGAATGGTGGCATGATATACAGCAAATACCATACTCCACGACATTTCATAAAGTATTACCACTACACCAACCAAAGATTAAGTACATGTCACAATACTCACAGGCTGAGTATACTACCCACATATAAAAATTTCTATTATCTTGTAGCTTCCAGATGCTGTATTTTCATGTGAGCCAAATGACAGCTGTTCATCTGCATAATAGATATATAGCTACTATCAATCATTATATATATTTTCTCTTTCTGCATGCATGATAATAAGTACATGTTTACTTTATTCTCATCTGTTATGCAGCCTTACATTTTCAACAAGGCTCATTTTCTGTACACCGGATATGACTTTATATCCCCCCCCCAAAAAAACTAAAAGTCACAAAGGTGTGATTCTTTGATCATTTTGCATGTGCAAAGAATCTTATTTGTATTGCAGAGTTTATATGCAGTCTTGAAGGGATGTTATGCATAAATTACCGTAATTTCCGGAAGAAAGGCCGCATCAACGTAAACGCCCACCGAAAAAATGCGGAAAAAAATTAAATTAACAGAAACGCGCATCACGTAACGCCGCATAGATTAAATGCACGTGACATCATGTGGGCCGTACTGATGCAAAAAATCAACCTAAGCCTGAATATCACATACCAGTAAGAAAATGATAAATGAACCATACTCAAAAAGACATAAAGGTAAGAATATATAGCTTCTGTGCCGTTTAGAGACATTTTCAAAATTCTCGCTCCCTCTTCTTAAAAACTATCCAACAAGACTTCCCAAACTGATGGGATCTGTATTTGGCAGAATGCCAAGAAAAATACATGCGAGGGAAATACGTTAGACGTCAATTCGGTCGTGTGGGCATTTGAAAAAATTGCAGAAAAGGGCATCGTGGGGAGAGGATGGGTCCTGGAAGATCATCGAAATGGCAAGGGAGAGAACTATTCAAACGATGAGAATGTTGATTTGAAAGGGGAAGAAATTATTTATGAGATCCTGTTTAGGTGAATAGCAGTAGTCCGTTCAATGGAAAGAATGTAAAAAATAACGTCGCAAAAAGCAACTGAATGGTCTCTTTGTGTGGGAACAGCACCAGTCTACGCCCATGACAAGCCATCCAAACTATGTACACTGCCTCATAGGAAAGATTTATTTTAGTGCCCTAACGCGCATGGGTAGAAACGCCGCACCCGCTGAAAATTTTAATTTTAAACACGTAAATGCTGCGGCGTTTCTTCCGGAAATTACGGTAAATGAACTGGAATATGACTAATAAGCACAAAATGCAGCACCACCAGGCATCTCACTAATGAAAAATTTATTATTCGAGATACATATTGAGATAACATTCTTTCCATATATGCAGACAGCAACTTAGAATCAACTAGTACGGTCATTAATTAATCAAGCATGAGAACTGAATGATAATAAGTACCTAACCTTATAAACAATACTAAAAGATCCATTTAGGTATATAAAAATATATAAATAAACAATATCACTTTTAACACTTAATGCTGCCAGTCATAAATTCACGAGTAAGGCCTTTTGGTTAGCCTACATTTAAGGGTGCCCCTTAGATTGTTGCCAAGTTTTTGCTTCATTTATAGTAAGAGTAGTTGAATGTCATGGAAACTCTATTATGACGTAATTGGTTGCATGATTGTGGTGAATTTGACTGATGGGAAAATATTTGTTGGATGTCAGTTAGGAAGTACGTCGTGTTTGTGTGCTTTGCATCGTAAAATGGCTGCCGGTGGAAAGTGGGTGTTTGGTGGTATAGAACGAGAGAGTGGAAGTTTTTAACTGGCTGAGGACAGAAGAAAAGAAACTTTCTTGGATGTAATTCAATGGAATTATAAGTGTCCTGTTTGTACAAAGGAAATGCGTATGGTCGAACATTGGAGGATTCCTGCATTATGGAGGATATTTTTTACTCTTATTTTTTTTAATTCATGTGGCGATGACATGATACAGATTCTAGTTCAGATAATTTTAGGAAGTTTTTGGATGCTGTTAAGAATTTTGTGTGCCACAAACTGAAGACACAGAAATTTGTAAATAAGTGGACATTTTCTTTGTGTAGTGCTTAGACGCTATAAGATGAATTTCCTTTTTATGTTATTTCATTATTTAATTTAAAACATAGTTTATTGAGATTATATATTTTTTGTTTGGCTCTAGTGTAAAATTGGCCACACCTTTGACTTTTTAAGTGAAAATAGATTGATGTGTATATGGACAAAGTCAAGGATATGCGCAATGCCGACATTGTTCAATTCTCTGTTCTTTCTTAAGAGAAAATAGGTTGATATGTACATGGATATTGAGTTTGTGCAATTCTTTGACTTGTTATTTTGGCTTTAAGTAGCGGCTATTTTTGGTACAAAAATGGCCGCTACATAAAGCCAAAATAAAAAGTATTGCACAAACTCAGTGTCCATGTACAGCCAAAAATCGCCAAGGGGCACCCGTAAATAAATTTTTAGCGACATTTTGAATTATTTAAAAAATAATTTCACCCATGTTGAAAAATTAGTTGCCACAGTTAAAAATAAAGTTAAAAACAAGAAAATACAGGAGGCTTACATGCTGAAACCCCATTTAAATATAAATTAAATTTTAACTTTCACAGATGGCAAAGCAGACTGTCCTTTGTTAAAGCTCCTCTCCTATATATTCCACAATGAATTTTTTGTACTTCACATAATTGCAACCACCTTAATAGATGTGGCTTAATTTTCAGAATGTGCCAAACTATAGTAATCACATGCACAATTTTTCAGTTTTACTAAGCATTTTTGTATGCATTCTTTTTACAGATTCTACAATACAGTTTCTATTTACAAATCATATAATTTTTAATTTGCACACATTTTTAAAGTATGGACTAGAGTATAGTAGCTACAGTTGAAGAAATCATGGAAAACTTTTACCAAAATCTAGCACATTTCCAAAAATCGCTAAAGGGAACAATTTCTTTAAATCTATTCTTGAAGCAAAGGGACAAAAAATTTTCACAAGAACAAAGGAAACAAAAATCAGCTTAAGTAGATTTATATTTTCAGGATAAGTACTTAAAAAGAAAACACGAAATATGCATATACTGATTTTTTTTCCCAAGGTAATTTTATGCAGCTGCCACACTTTTTGGCACCTGTGAAAAAGAAGCAAAACACACTGCAAGACCTAATAATAGTGCTATGTGAGCTATCACTGTGTATGTGTGTGTATCTATTAATTATTCTTATAATTAGAAATATTTTACAATTAAAAAACCCACCAAAATGCATGACAGGTGCATAATGGAAAAGTACCTTTTCAACTATAAATCATCATTCTTTTGTGTGCGAGAGCGTAAAAACTTATCCAAGGTCAAACTCATCCAAGATAGTTATACAAGTACCAAATTTTTAAGTTTATTAGTATGTAAACTGAATGCATTTTCATGTTAAAAAATACTTGTTACAAATTTTAACATGAATGACACTTCTGTTATCGGGACCGGATTTAAAAATGCATGTATGTGTATAGATGTACTTTTTTAATGGCTGGCCACTTTATTTGATAGTTATTTAGCCTTGCGCTACTACTTGGACCGGAAGTAATGGCCGTTTCATTATGGAAGCACGAGGTAGCCACCATTGCCTCCTATGAAGGGACAGACAGATACAACTATGCCTTCTCTGGAATTCGAACCCGGGCCCATCACTATGGAAATCGGGGTCATTAACCATAATACCGGCTGCGCATACATATGTACATGTGTACATAAATATATATGTATGTACACATATATCCATAGTTACAAGCATAAATACATACATTTCTGAATCTGGTCCCAATAATAGAAGAGTACCACATGAATACTAATTTTAATTACTACTTTGGCAAAATAAAAAGCATTTAAAATTTATGTAAAGAAATTTAATATCTTCTATAAAAACAATTCCAAAACAAAGCAATAAACTGTACATAAAACTTATTAAAAATATAAACTAACCTGGTTCACTGTTGTCTCTTAAATGCTGAATAAGTCTTAAAAACATACGAGGCATGAGAGCTTCAGCTACACATAACAAATCTGGAGGAGCTTCTGGTTTATTTATTTGATTCTGTTGCCCATGTCTTTGACAAAATCTAAGAATAATTAAGAACCAAGATTAAATTGCTCACTTTGTAATAAAAGAAGAATTTTGTTTAAAACTGGCAAAAATATCTCACCCTGATTCTCGCATTACACTTTTATCTCCACAATCACATGCTCCCCCAGCTTGACTTCGAAACATGTTAAAATCATGACCTTCATGATTTCCTCTTTGGAAGCATTCAGAACATAAAGACATACATGGTGAAATTCCACAGGTTCGGCATCGATAAGCGACAAAATTAGCAGTCCATA